GGTATCTTCATCTATTTGCCGGGCTTTGGCAGGCGGCGTTTATTGAGTTTTAATTGGATAAGTTATAGATGCTCATGTTGCATAAATTCCGCAGACTCCTTTGTTTTGACACCACCAATCCAAGGGCCCTAGAGCAGCTGCACAGCCTTGGGCGAAATTGTGCGGTCGTGCGTCAAGTTCTGGGGAACGTGCAGCTCATTTACCTGACCACCAGCTAAGGGGATGTCCCTTGGCTCCCTGACAACCCCTGTCATCTCCACGTCACCACAATCAATGAAAGTTCACCAGGGAATCTCGCTTAATTAATGCCAACTATGAAAAGCGTTTGTCGAGCGCTCATTTTCATTATATAATCGCAGCCACTTTGATTTCCATATAAGAGGGGGGATGGAATAAAAAAAGCCTAAAACAAAAGCAATAAATATACAAAAGCTGGGAAAAACAAAAGCGGTGAAGAGGGAAAACAAAGGAAAACATTTTACTGGCTTGTCGCTGTCTTTATTGCCGCCTAATCGCAATGGACCGCGCCGAAGTTGTTCTTTTTCCAGGCTGCACTAAGGCGGCATCATCAGTCATGCTACTTCATTATTATCGCTGACATTGCCACCCCCAAACACCCACTTCCACCCACCCAAAGCACCCACTTCCTCGCCCGCTTGTCGCTTATAATTCATTTCTATTGTGCCCCGTCTGAAAGTCCTTTTTGATCCAGCGGACTTATTTGTCTTGAGGAAACTCGCAGTAAAATTGCTTTTCCTACTACGCGCTCACTTCCTGTTGCCGCTTGTTGCGCTCCGCTCTCAAAAGTCTGGAGCTGACGCAACTTTCCCATTGTCTTGCCGGCTTTGTGAGGAGCGGCCAAGACCCAGGGATCGGTGTTAATAGACGCCTGGGTGCCGGACTCGCCTGCAACAAGCAGCATGAGCAACATAAAACAGCATCGCTTCACTGCCAAAAACAATGTGAACTAAAATGTTGTGCAAAATACCAAGAATGCATATTACCTAATTGATCAACGGATTTTTACTTACTTACCAAAAAGCATTCAATGTTAAATAATGTATTTTTTTACATGAATAATTTATAATTTTAAGAATCTTTACTTTGAATTGTGCGCAAATATTCTCATCAATTTTGGTTGAGCAATCGAACATTTTTTTCTGTTTATTTATAAGTAACTTGTTTTTCCCAGTGCATCAGCCTCAGCAGCGGACGCTTCAAGTTGGCTCTTCATTTGTCGCTTTGTGCTTATTGTCATTGCGCCCGGCTTCATTTTCTTGTGATTAATGTCGTCATTAACTGCAATTAACTTTTTTAGTTGCCCGCCGCGACAAATCTTTGCCGTTTTTGTCTGAACTTTGGTCGCCAACTTGACTGGCATGTTGAGCAATGTCAATTTGAGTCCTCCTCGCCATCCTTCACTGGACATCATCAGTCATGTATGCGAGTGTGGACGAGTGTACGGGCGACAACTTAATAGTTTTTGCCCTAATTATTTGTCAAGCATTCTGCTAATGGCCTGGGTCGACCTTCCACCGAAGTTCGCAAAAAAAAATGGGAATCGCTTACATTTTTCGCCTAATGAATCTCACATGCACTCGACAACTCATTGGGGAAATTGCTTTTGAATGGCTGCTTAATACACAAGAGCAAAAGTTCCACTTTATTCCAAAAAGAATTTAAGTTCTATTAATTTCAGCTCATGGCTGCACAGCAAAATTATTAAACGTTTTAACTTTATTATTATCGACTGTTTGCTCAGTCACTACAAAAATATTTGTGTTCTATAAACTCACACCTTTTTGTTTTTCTTCTTTACATTTATTATTTATGTTTAGGAAAATTAATTAATTTTTACTTTTACCGTACAGCTACAGGTATTAAAGGACGATATATACATACATTTGTATATTTCCAAAATCGAACATAAAATTTCTGTGAAATAATCAAATGTTTTTTCAATTCAAATGGTTGGTTAAAAGTTATTGAACTATCCATATCATTAAAGAATTAGAAAGGCATACTAATTGGCTTATTTTAGCCAACGAAATAAAGAAGTATTTTTTAAACAGAAAAAAATACATTAAATCAAAAATCTTTCTGTGTGACAAAGCCGAGTCAAGTTTGGACTTGATTCGGGAGTCCCGGGCGAGAGTAATTCCAGTCCCGGCAAGTGCACAAAAATGTCCTGCTAAGTACGAAATAAAAGCGTTACGTGTGTGTCCTGACGTGCACTTGCCGGGGCCATAAACTGGACGACTTCCCAAGGGTCGCGGGATATTCCGTGCATACACCGAAACTACAACTGCGACCCGGACCCGGACTTGGTGAACTTATGTATTTACAACGTGGACGCACGCGTGCTCCACTTTTTTGCCGGCGGCACAGCCTAGAATTATGCTACAAATTTTATAATTTCACACCTAAAGGGGGCGGAAGAGCAGCAACAGCCTCCCAAAAACGGAAATGGCTCGTAAAATAGCGGCAAACGGCATTGAGAAGTTTTTCGCCACGGCTTTGTTGTTTCCCAGCCAGAAATTTTGCACATACATAGGTACTTTTTGGATATTTTTTTAGTGCCCATGCCACACACTCACTGCCAGCTGGGACTGGCTTGCATTTTTGTGTTTTAACTTTCTTACAATAAAGTGATGTTATCTTGTGCTTGCCAGCTACTTTGCGGCTTAGGCAACAGGCAAGTAGGCTTGTGGGCGTGTGGGCGTGTGGGCGTGTGGGCGTGTGGGCGGGGCCAGAATGGTGGGTGGTTGTAGGTTGACAGGATCTAGGGGAAATTACTCTGTGCTTTATCGTGCATATAAATCTATTTGCTCAGGTGTTTTTAGCTGCTAATATGTTTGTGATGACTTTATTTTGCGTTTACCGCCAGCTTTGCCTTCATCTGGCTCTTGGCTCCCGGCATTGCTTTGCCAGCTTTCTTTACTTTCCCTTCGGTCCGCCCAGGGTCGCGTTTTTTCCTTTGGCTTTACCTTATTTAGATTGGGCATGGCGGCAGCTTAGCAGTTTTTTTTTTTTTTTTTATTTTATTTGGTTGCTAGCGTTCCGGAAAAGTTGTAAAAAGGTTTTCTGGCCCGGGCCAGATGCGCTGCAGGCTTAGACCCGCACTCTCGAAAGGAGAAAATATTCCAAGGTTCGCTTTAATATTTCTGCAACCGGCCAATGCGGCGTATGCGCAATTTGGTTATATACGTGACGAACCCAGAGCAAATTAAAAGGGACGGGGCATTAAGCTAAATGTTTAAAGCACTTAGCCGGCATGCATGTTGTCATCAGGCGAAATGAAATATTCATAGGAAGTCGGGGGCCTATATATGTGGGCTTTGGGTCTCCGAAAGGCTCGGCAAGCTTTTAAGCCTTTTTTTAATGCCTTAACTACAACTAGACCAGGTTGTACATCCCATCCTTAAACACACGCACCGCACCACAGTGATGTCGTCGCGACCACACAGCATTTGCTCAAGGGATTAACTCTAAAGATCTTAATGCCTCTATTTCGACGGTCTTAAGTAAACTTCCGACCAGGCCGGGACCCAACAACAATGTGTGACAAGTCAAGCAGCACCGAGCCATCTCCTCCCCGCATCCCCAATTCCTCAAGAGGAGTAAACCCAACCGCCGACTACCCCTTGGTTTTTGGCTTTTTATTTGTGTTTGTATTTGGCCCAGTGTTTGTTTTGCCCACTGGCTCCACTCATGCCGCCTTCTGCTAATGCACAGAGAATAAAATCGCAGACTCCTGACATTTATTTGGCAACTAATGGGTGTGAACCACAGAAAATAAAATAATATGGTATTAAATGAAGTTTTTATGTAACAAATGACGAAAATATCTTGGAGATTACTTTCAAACTTATCCAACAAAGATCGTTGTTATATAATAAAATAATGAAGTGAATTGGAATCAAACTTATATAAATTTATGAAAGCAATATTATATTTATTTTATGCCTTCCTACATTTCTTAGACTCAAGTTGTATGCTCTAGTAAATTTTTGGGACACAATTATGTACAAGCTTAAAAAGTGTACAATTTTTAATTCAACTATTTATTTTCTGTGTCGCTGTGATTCTAGCCCGGCTCCTCTTGTTGCTAAGCCTCAAGCAGCACTTCCGCATCCTGGTTTGTGTGCGTTGATGTGGCCGTTGGGCCTCCTCCTCATTCTGGGTCACATATGCACATTGTCACTGCCAAGTACCACTAATATTATTTACTTTTCGTTAGGTTGTGTTGTGCCAGCTCAATAGATAAACACATGTCGCCATCAGCCATTTCTCGAACGATGGGGAGGAATGGGGCTTGGGAACCACCTTATGCTTATGACATCCCCTGTCATTCGCTGGAACATTGCCGGCGGCAACAATTATGCCAAATTAAGTGCTGGAACTTTGCCTGCATTCTTTTGGCCCCGTTCAATAAGCCAAACTTTTCCACGAATCGAGGAAACAGAAAATTATAAAACGTTAAAATTGAAAAATCATGCGGCAACGCGGAAAACAAGAAGCGAACATCCAGATGGTGCCCACGGCCAGCAGACGCGGCCGGGTATAATTGAAAAATATAAAGTATCGCCGCAATCTGATTAAAATTACATTTAAATAAAAACAACAAAAACATGGCAGGAAACTGGAGGCGGGAAAGGACAGCAGCGAGCCACAAGCGAATATTCTGTGATGTGCGTCAGGCACGAAACTTGCAATTACAGTTTGTAACGCGGTGCCAGGTAAAAAACTTTACAAAACTTTCCAATTGCTTTTCATTCAATTGTTATCGATAGTAAAGAGAAGGTAAAAACCAAGGAAAAATTACAAAGGCAAAATAAAATAGAGGAAAATAAAAAAAAACCTGCATAGAATAAAAATTTATCCAGAGGACTTGACAAATTCCTTGCTTATTTCTAGTATGTCTGGAGTTCAGTTCATTAAACCGTTCAAAAGAAAAATAACTACTAAAATATTTAATAACTTTTCGTGTATTTCGGGGGTTTAGGAGATTATAAATTATAAGTTGTTATATTTCAAATTAACTTATTGAACTTAAATAATAAAATCTCAAATTATGGATTTTTATAGACTTTTATATAATTTATGAGTTGAAAACTGGATTACACTTATACTACAAAAAAAAAGGACCAGTACTTTCCCGCTGTTATATCTTAATGATTTATTTATAAATACAGATTAAGCTTAGAAAATATGTGTCGATTAGGGGCTAAGGCTTTGATTTTTAAATGGGCATGGTATACATATTAACAGATGTATGTAATGTTTTTGAACTAATTGCTGATGTTGGTATATTAAGGCAGCTCAACTGATTTTGTTGCGAAGATAGTACTTGATTAGCTGAATGCACACCTCTGCATCTTCGGCACTATCGTGGCCGGCCTCTGTGGAGAAGAAAAAATATTATCAACGTCACCAAAACTCTCTCCTAACCATAAAAGTATTCATGTTAGCAAAAGTAATCCAAATTATTTTGATAATGTATAAACAGATACAATTTTTTTACCAAAAAACCCAAATATTTTCTAATAGACTGGTGTGAATGCCTAGATTTATTTATTCTCCCTGTGATAAACTTACCATTCTCCTGTATAATGCGCTTAAGGTTTTCGATGCAGAGTGTCTTTAGAGCGCGCTTCTTCGGCGGTCCCATTTTGTGCGGAAATAGCACCGAGGTGTCCACCACTACGTCATGAATGAGTTTAAGTGCCTTTAGGTCGCTCTCCAAACTGTGGCCAACAAGCACGGTTTTGGCATGAAACATGGACATCAGCACGGCCTGAACATCGCGTATATTGCGCGTCTCTTTCGAGAGCATGACCTCTGTGATGCCCGAGTAGCTAGAACGAAAATATTTGTTAACAATAAGAACATTTGGAAACAAAAGTTATACACCTACGTGGTATTATAGTCCACAATCTGGTTGTCCGGCTTGACCAGGGCGTCGTACACGCTGCGTCCGTTTATGTCTACCACGGTGACGCGCGTCAACTCTATACCATGAGTCGTGTAACACATCTCGCAATCCAAGGCGAATATGTCCTTTTTGGTGGGCACTAACTCATCACCCCGCTCGATCGTCTTCACGAAGCAGGTTAGCTTGTCCGGGTCATAGTAATCGCTGACGTGGTAGTTGCCGTAGGTGCAACCCGGAGTGCCCGCCGGCTGCTGACAGCATCGGTGCTGGTTGTCAGTAAATCCTCGCCGGTATCCCGTGCTTTTCGGATGGTAGTTGCACATGTCGAAGCCCTGGTGCTCATATATGTTTAAACTGAAAACCTTGCCGCAGCGAGAACAGTAGCGTTCGCTCTGGTTGGGTCGACGGTTTGGTCGGCAGGCGCGTATAACCGCCGATCCACGCTTCTCGCCCGGTCGTGGATAGCCGTTCTCCACCAACTGGTCGTCCGTCAGGCGAAGATCGAAGACCATTTCGTACGCTTTCTCTGCGTCCAAAGCATCGAAAGGTTCTCCATTTCCCAAGGAGCCCAGTTTTCTGAAAGAAAGGGAATATTAGTTAATGTAATTAATGTTGATATTTTTTTCTACGCAACGGAGTTTTCAAGAATATCCCAGTTGCATATAAACAATATCCAATATTTAAATTAACCACCCACTCCTTTTTCTCTACGCTCCAGGAGGTGGTAAGAGCCCGCTTCCCGCCAAGCATCATCTCATGAGACACCGTCTTGCTGGCCACGCTTGGCCTGTTTCCCGCCTCGATAGCCTCCTTGCGAAGCTTGTTAATCGCCAGCATGCAGCTGTTCTTGTAGATGGCTGGAGTGTTGCACTTCTTGAAGACGCCCAACTCCTCTACTTGGGCCCGCTCCCACGCGTCTGCTAGCTGCGGATAGATGACGGTGCAGTGCTTCACCATCATCTCGTAATACTGTATGCGCACGTTATAAGATATTTTGGAGCTGCTGGGATCCAAAACGGTCGGCTTCTCAGGATTGGCCTCGCTGGCCACTGGAGCAGCTTTGTCCAGTGCAGCCGTGGGCTTGTGGGCCACCCGACCAGCGCCCTTAAAGGATTGCGCAGGTGTAAAGGCAGGCTTCTTCTCGGCCTGCAGTTCCTCAATCTTCTTCTTGGCCCGAGCTATGGCCACTATGTTGGCCACAGGTGCAATGCTGCGAGCTGCAAAATAGTTAATAATAAATATAATTAAAATTATGTAGGAGAAAAAAATGTTAAACCAAAAATAAACTATGATTAAATAAGAATGAATAAATGAAATCTGTCGTTATCAATTGCTTATAAATTCTAACTTAAAGTGCTTACCTGAACGCACTGGGGGATTCAAAGCGCTTCGCGGGATAAGGGGCGTAAGGCTGGAATTAACCTTGGCCTGGCGGAGCTCCTCCTGCGCTTGACGTACCCGCTCCTGGGCCTGACGTAGCTGTTCGGCAGCGGCCTCGGCTTGCATCTTTTCCTGACGGCGCAGTTCCGCACGCCGGTCAAAGATCGCCTGCATCGCATTGCGGATGTGATTGGGCTTGCGCACAGCCACTGATGAAGCCGCCTGTGGCTTGTTCCTGTCCGCGTTCTCGTGGGCCACACGACGCTTCTGCAATGCCGCTGTCGCCGCTTCTGTGAAGGTGTCAATGTCCGGTGAAAGAGCCTTCCTTTTGCGAGTTAGGTTGGCCTCGCCGCCTTCATCCTTGTGCATTTGCGCGAACTTTTTCTCCATCTCGTCGAATATCATTTCGCATTGCCGCACTATTTCGCCCTCAGAGGTGTCCACCTCGAAGTCAAAGTCCAGCTCATCGAGGTTATCACTAGACTCTGGTAGAGCTGCAGCTGCTTCCGTTTCCTTTTCCGCCTCTTGTTCACTCTTGGAAGTGCTCTTGCTGGATGACGAGGTGCTCTTCGAGCTCTTGGAGCGCGAACTCGAAGAACTTGAATTGTGGTGGTGACTCTTCGACGCGGATGATGAGGAACTGCTTTTGTGCCTGCTACAGGAGCTTTTCTCTTCACGATGCTTTTCACTGCTGGAGGACTTCTTGCTGGAAGACGAGCTGGAGGACTTGTGCTTAGAGGAACTTGAGCTGGAGGTGTGCCGGTCCTTAGATCGATCCTTGTCGCTGTGAGATGACTTCCGCTTGTCCTTCTTTTCCTTTTCCTTTTCCTTGTCCTTTTCTTTGGACTTCTCTTTGTCCTTGTACATGTCTTTGTCCTTATCCCTGTTATTCACCTTTTCCTTGTCACGGTCTCTCACTTTTTCCTTTTCCTTGTCTTTTTCACGTTCCTTGGTCGACTTGTGTTCTCTTTTGGGGCTCTCCCCAACTTTCTTTGGATGCTCCTCCGGCAGCTCCTGTTCGTTCTTAACCACGAGCTGCACCTTCTCATTGTCATTGTTGTCATGGCTTTGTTCTTCGATCTCCACCTGCATCTGTTCGTCGATCTCTTTTTCGAGAACTGTCTGCCAATCGTCATCGCCTACGCCATTAGCGGCTGATGGCTGGCCGGGCACATATTTGGGGGCAGTGTCTACTGCCGCCTCCTGTTTCTTTTTCGCAGGCGAGGCGTTCAGAGCCGGCTTCTCCGGGTGGTACTCCAGGTTAGACTTTTTCCTGGGCGCACACAGCGTTATCTGGGGCAGTGGCAGGGAAAGCAGCTTGGGAGCCGGCTTGTACTCGGGCACGGCAGCGGCTTCCGGGGGCGGAGCGGCCTCCAAATCGTCTGCAAACCGGAAGTTGTTAGTATTTCATTCGATTGACTAGGAGTTCTTACCTTTGCGGGCATGCTTGAAGTGACAAAAGGGCCGATGGCAGGCCGCCGCATCCTTGCCATCGAAGTACGGGCACAGGAACCCCTTAAAGAGGCCCGTGGACGGCAGCATTTCGGCCGCTGGCGAGGATTTGCAATTTATTGAAGCCGCTCAATAAAGCGTCCCAAATTTCCTTCTATTCTCTCTATGGCCGTCTCTTTCTCCCATTTCGTCAGTTGTCACAATCAGATGTTCGCAGCGTTGCCAGATGCGCGACAGCTTGGTTGTTATGACTGGCAATTAATTGTTTATTTTTAGTTTTTTGGTGTTTTAAAGTAATAGGATTACAATTATAAGTACAAGAAGAAAAATAGCTTTTAAAATAAATAAATAACAGCAGAAAACAATTAAAATGTTTGACAGCTCTGGCGTCTACTGTGTGCGAAATTTTATTGATGCAATTTCCGATAGACTAAAAGCGCGGAATTTAAATGATAATATAATGAATGTGGCAAAATTTGGTATAATTATAAATAAATAATAAATTATTAGATAAATAAAAAATGTATGTTTCAATAGCACATGCGAAAAGTTTGACAACTCTTTTAATCAGCTGTTCGCGCAGGCATTTTGCAACGGCTTGTAAACAAACTCTCTTCAGTCAATTGATACAATCCTTAATTGAAATAACTACAAAATCGCTTGCTTATCTACCCAAATGAGCCTGATAACTACAGACCCACATTAGTTCGGGCACAGTGAAGTTCAGGTATAAAAATCAATTGATACTCATATAGTCTGGTTGTGAGGTGTGTGAGGGTGTGTCCGCTGGAATCTACAATCTAGAAATCTATACAGAAATTCAAATAAAAGCATAGCTTATCAATTGCCGACGCTGTCTACCATCGAGCGGCAATGATCGGGTTGATATATTTTCACACTGAGTCAGAGAACGCGGGAGGGGGCTCCCACAATCCGATAATATAGAGAGCTTCGCGAGGTTTGCTGCGATATCAGCCCTCTTCATGGATTCAGTCGTATAACGGCAGTCTGGCGGTTCGCGTCTTTCCGGCAAAAAGTAAATTCAGTAAAGTCCAAAGGTCAGTTGCCGAGAACTTGGCCAGCGATTAGTGATTTCACCAGTTCGCCGGCAATATTCTTGGAATATAAATATTTATAATGCACCTAATCCGACAGAGAAGTACGGACTTTGTGTCGCTGATTGGAGAATTATCTCGCTGTCTACCTGTATCTCAACCAAAACTATTACTTTGAACTTCACACATTGTTTATTTGCATAATAGAATATCAAATTGCCATTAAATTGTGAAATTTGATCACCTATTTAAGCAAATACCTCAATGCCTATCTCATAAGATTTGTTGATCAAGTTCTTTTTGCTTTGAATGTACCCAATTATTATTTATTATGGGAACTTTGGACCCAATGAACGCGAAAGTGATTCCAGATATGATTATTTATTTGCTTTCTTATCTGGCCATAGGCCTTTTTGCTAGCCCCACGCAAACTTATATCAACACTCTCCACTGTCCCCCGCAGATTAACTACCATGGATCGGGCCAGTCTATATTTCATGAGCAAAGATGATAAGAACACTTTCGACTTTGACGAGACGCTGCCCTCGCTTCCTCTACCGGATCTAAAGGACACCTTGGAGCGCTATTACGCCTGCATCCAGCCATTTGGGTCCAAGGAAGAGTTGGCTCAGGCACGAAAGACTATCGATGAGTTCCAAAATGGAGTGGGAGCCGAGCTCCACGAGCAGCTTAAGAAACGGGCGGCCAGCATGAGGAACTGGTTGGGGACTTGGTGGGAGGACTACGGATACCACTTGCTTCGAATGCCGCTCCTGCCCTACCAACTCATGGTAATGGCCGCTCAGTTGGAGATGGTGGGTGTTCCGGAGACCCCGGAATACATGCTCAAGGTGAGTTTCCCGATTTGTAAGTCTTTAAATTTGAGTTGCCATAACTTATTTTCTGTGACTATCTGAACAATGCAAGGGTACGTTTTAAAAATTAGCAATTTCAAGCAAAGTTTTGACGACTGCAAAACTGAATAAAAAATGTGCATACTTAGAAACACCTTTGAAAACCAAAATGTGTCTAAGGAAGCTCCCAGAAGCTTACTTGTTCGTACAACTAATTTATGTTTAAAAATTCATCATAAGCTAGAATCTATTAGATTATATTTAATATTATACACTTATTTAAAAATAAACCTAATTTCGTGTCGTATTTTAAGAATTCTGTGCCCTTTTTTTTATTGTCTGTAACAATTTCACAGAGTTTAGCTCGGCATATTCACCATACGCTTGAGTTTTGGGATCTAACTCGGAAGTCCAGCATCAAGCCGCTCTCCTCGAACGGAGGAAAAATTAAGTACTCCTCCGCGCTATACAAGCGCTTTTTCTCCACGTGCCGTGTTCCAGGCGAGGAGCAGGACCACATCGAGAAGCATTTCCTTACCAAGGATGAGGGCAAGACGCCCAGTCATGTGCTGATCTCCGGCAAAGGACGCCAATTCTTCCTCGACTGTGTACACGAAGACGACACTATCCTGACGGCTCCCGAGATCTTGGTGGCGCTGCAGCGGCTGCGCAGCATTCTAGATTATGAGCCGGTGGGTGACTGCGTCCCCACCCTGACCCATGATGACCGAACGTCGTGGGCTCGCAATCGGTACCGGTTAAGGGAGATCTCGGAGGCCAACAAGGAGACGCTGCTGCTCGTGGAAAGCTCCAGCATTGAGTTTTGCTGGTATGAGCAATCGCCCAAGGACTACGAGGAGTCCTCACAGCTTGGTATTTACGGTGACCTGCATTCCCGCTGGGCAGATCGAAGCAGCAGCATCATTGCCTTCCGCAACGGACGCTCCAACTGGGTGGGCGAGCACAGCTGCTACGATGGCACTGTCAGCATTAGTTTCGCCACCTTTATGCAGCTGAGCTTCTTGGAGGTCCCGGAGCCTGACTGGTCAGAGGCCGAGCACTGCAAAGTGGCGGAGATAAAGGAGCTAAAGTTCGAGTTGGACGACTCCCTCAAGAGCGAGATTAAGCGCGTTCAGAAGGTTTTAGACGATAGGGTAAGTAAATCATATTCACTGAACAGTGTGATTCCGAGATTAAACTAAATTCATTGTTTAACTTTTAAGGGCATTGATGTTACAACGACGTTCACTGTATTCGATGACTACGGCAAGGAGTTTATGAAAAGCCACCGTCTCCATCCGGATTCCTTTGTCCAGGTGGTCATGCAATGGGCCTATTACCAAATGCATAACGAGTAAGTGATATTATAATTTTTTGGACCCAATTTGATTTTACTCGATCCTCTACAGAATTGCTCCCACGTATGAGACCGCTCTGATGCGACAGTACTACAATGGGCGAACGGAGACACTGCGATCCTGCACCGGTGCAGTGGCCGAATTTCTTAACGCCTCTTCCAACAAGCAAGTCGGTGATATGTCATTGGCCAGGGCTTTTCGCAAAGCCGTCGATGAGCACAAGCACTTTATGAACGAGGCGCGCAAGGGACATGGCATCGATAGACACTTGTTTGGCTTGTGGTGTGCGGCATACGAAAACAAAATGGACATTCCCGCCTTTTACGATGATCCCTTGTACACTAAAAGTGGCGGTGGGGGCAACTTTGTGCTCTCTTCCAGCACTTTAGGCTTCACAGCCAACGTGGGCTTTGTGGCTCCCATGCTCCTCGATGGCTACGGCGTCTTTTACTCCATCACCTCTGAAGCGTAAGCCTTATCTCTCTGTTTTTAATATTCCTCCCAAATTAAATCTTATTGCCTTGCCAGTGTGTTCATCAATACAACTGCCTATCGGGATAGCATCAAGACGAGCGCCCGCAAGTTCAACGACATCTTTAAGGACTCATTCCGGCGCATTAGCGTTCTGCTGGAGGAGCTTGCCAAGGAGTCAAAGCTATAAAAAGCTTATTTTAGTATTAGAAAGGATTAAATCTTACTTCATATTTTAATTTAAACCTTAATTCTCGACTTTGCATCCGATCAAACAGTTCATTTTGCGTGCCTTTTAACTTTTTCACTTTCCAATTTAACCCACCTTTGATCGGAAATTAATTGAGAACTTGGCCGTTTGTAGGTAGTTTGTAAGCTATTGTGTAAACACAGGGTGTTCAGCATTCCAAAGTTAAAAGCTTCGTGTTAAACGTTTATTTAAATTCAATGTTCGATTAGTTTATGCAAATACATTTCTCTCGGTAATTCTTGTTTCAACTCTAAAATGCGGCTAAATAAGTTAAGCGCCCAGCCGCTTAAATACGTCCAACACTTTTTGACTTTCCACTTAATAAGCGAGCGCCGCAGCTGGCCCTAGATACTACGTACAAATTAATTGGAGCTTGCGCCGGATTACATATATATATACTCGTTCTATATACGAAAAGTTTTCGTTAGTAAGTTCGATTATCTGGGAGCTAAATGCTAATTACAAATGGTTCTTACTGTGTGTCTACAATTCAATGCAACACGGCGAGTCGCAGACCCGAGGACAGAATGGGAAAAAAAAACTTCAGATGAGCTGAGTTTGGAGCTTGTTTGGCCGCACTAGTGCGGCGGTTGCGGAGGTCGATAGTAGCCAGCGTGCGGCGGCAGCATTGAGTAGCCGGAGGAGGGAGGAGGGGCGATCCTTTGACCTCGTCTCGGCTGCTGTGTCGGCAAGCCGGCGTACGCCTGCACTCATTCCTGCCCAGTGGCCGGCACCGGCTGAAGGTTCTGCTCGGCTGCCGGAGGAGTGGCACCCGCTTCATCCTTGGATCCTCCTCCCGGAGCTGCGCCCTCCCCGGTGGCCTGGAAGGCCGAAGGTCGTTGCACAAACATATTGTCGATGATATGATCGATGTTGTCCGATATGCCCTCTTCCTTGGCTCCGCCCTTGCTCTTGTGCTTCTCGGAGGGCGGCAGGATGGGAATCGCGTTCGTGGGACGACGCTGGGGCAGGGCAGCTGGTCGGCTGGCGGTTTGGGCCGGTGGCACAAAGTAGGTAGTGCCACCTACCGTGTTGTAGTTTTGATACGGTTGGGCTGGCTGCGCTGCGGGCGGAGCTTGGGCGGGCGGCGGTGTAGGCTGGGATACCACCGGGGGCGCCGCCTGGGCGTAGGCCACGGCAGCCGGAGTGGGGGGCAAGTAGGCGGCACTGGCCGGATTCACATACGGTGCCTGGGCCACAGGCACGGGCACGGTCACTGGCTCCGTACCGGTCACGTAGTAAGGAGCCGCCTGCGCCTGCGGATATGCGGCTGCCGGTGGAGCATGTGGTTTTGGTGCAGCTGTCACTGTTCCAGCTGCAGTGGGTCCCAGTTGCATGGTCTGGAGCTGTGCCTGAAGTTCCTGCTGTTGGTAGGCAATCTGCATCAGCACATGTGGGTCCTGGATCATGATCTGTGATTGCTGCTGCTGCTGTTGTTGTTGTTGTAAATGCAACTGCTGTTGCATCTGTTGCTGCTCCGCCAGGTGTTGGGAAGCCTCCTGCTGGGTGCGTCGTAAACTGGAGTAACGCTTAGGGGCGTTTCGTTGCTCCGGGTGCTGCTGTGGGGCCTGATTTTGGTTGGCCAGTGAGTGCATCTGGACACTGCCCACATGGCTGGGATCATTACGCTGCTGTACCTGCTGCAAGCGTTGCGATAGGTTCGTAGTGGAGAGCGGCGACTGTGGCGGCTGCTGTTGCTGGGGCGCCTGCCGCTGCTGCTGTTGTGGCTGCTGTAAGTGCTGAGGTTGCTGCTGCGGTTGTTGTTGGTTAGAGCGAGGAGTGGGCTGCTTCTGGTTGCGGTTGTCCAGTTGGTCGGGTCCCCTCTCCCTCTCACGCGTCTGCTGCCCGCGGTTGTTCTTCTTGAATTCCACACCATTCTGACGTCCTGGGCCGCCATTCATCCGCCCAAAGTTGCGATTCTTGGGCTCACGATCTCGTTCTCGCTCCCTTTCGCGCTCGCGTTCCCGCTCCTGCGATCTGTGCGGATTCGAACCACTGGCCAATGGCTGCTGTTTCTCGGCAACCAAACCTCCGCCTCCCACCGAACGTCTGTTCTCCTTCTCCTCCCGCGACGAGGATGTTCTTGGCCCTCGTGGTTTCCTCTCGTTAAGGGCCGGAAAATCTTGCGGACGTGGCGGCTTCCGCTCTTTATTGCTGGCCTTGAGATAGGCCTGTTCGTCCTCCCAATTCCTTGAGTATTTACTCGGACCGCGTGTGTATCGCCGGCGGCGTCGGGCTCTTGGCGGTGCATCCTCGTTCCTTATGTCGTAACCATAAGTCTGCAACAGCTCAGCCCGTGATTTGGGCGCCTGCTCATTGGCCTCGAATCGATCGTGGGACCATCGATCGCCGCCCGATGCCGGCTGCCACTTGCGCATGGTTTTGGAGGCCTGTGAGATCTGTGGCGTTTGGCCAGTGGGCGTGGCTCCGGCTGCCACCAGTCCGTTTAGGTCGCCATTTGGCTCCGCCGGTGCTTGGCCAGCACCGTTTTCCGGCTCGATCAGAACTTCGCCCTCGTTCTCTGCCGTTCGATCGTCGTGTTCGTAAAAAGTGCCCCGTTTGGGGATGTACTGCGGATTGCTGCGGTCTTCGTCCACCTTCTTCTGGGCCTCGCTGTCGGCAACAGAGCGATCCATTGCCTGCTCACCCTCGCCATCCTCCGACTCGCTGCCCACCTCCTCGTCTTCATCGTCGGTTTCGGATTCCTCCTCACTTCCACTGCCACTGGCACTCCCGCTAACGCTCTCCTCGTCATCGTAGTCCTCTCCACCCTCCAGATCACTGGCCGTGTCGTACTCCGAATCGTGCGGATGCGAATTGGAATTGGGTTCCTGAGTAGGCGAAGTGCCCGGCTCAACCTCACCGGTGGCATCTGCTGTGGGCGATGCGGCCACCTCGCTGGAGGTCGGAGGCGTGGCCTGGGGGATGTCAGTCGGGGGCGTGGCCGCCGTCGGTTTCTCCACTTCGGCCATCGCGGGGTCTCTTCGATTTTCTGCCTCGCTACTGCTGCTTCTTCTGGGGAATGGAATGGGTTGGGATTCTAGGTGTCACTGAGGCAGCTACGCCAGAGTTTTCTATCTCAACTCACGTGCGAATCCTCGTTAATAGCTGACTCCTTTGCTAAGTGTGCTTTTTGAAACGGAAAATTGTGCAGGAAAACCAATATTTTCGCTGAGTTTTCTCGACAACAACGCAATCAGAAAATAGAAAGTCTAGGGTTACCTTTCTCCTCGCCGCAGTGCTGCAAAATGCGCCACTTCACAAGAACGTAAGAGCTGGATGAGGAAACGTAACATTATTACGTTCCCAAAAACGTTTAACAGTACTGGTTACGGTATTCACAGCTACAATTATTAATTTTAAAGGCAATTTAAAGAATAAAATAAAATTTTTTAAACACAGACTATTCTTTTAAAATGTACTTGATAATTCATACCCTGTTTCTTGAATTAGAAATATTGGTACTGGAAAAATCTTTTTTCCAAAATTTCTAGGTATTGTTTAAGGTGTAGGCGAGTCACCCACGTAATCGAAATTACAATCGACGGCTTGTCATCTTTAGGCCAGCTGTTAGAAAGAAAAGAGAGCGCAAAGCGGAGTTCGAACATAGCGACAGACGGCTAATTAATTTCACATCACTTGGAATCAGAATCTGTCCAAAAGCTAATTCTCCAGAACAGGAAAACATGTGGAAATTTCTGGGCGTGCCGCTTAAGAAGCCGTCGGAGGTGGATGTGGTTAAACCACTGAACAATCTGATCCAGAGCACTTACAACGGGGCGACGGAGGAGGAGAAAGGCAAGTACGCCGAGGCCGTCAACGAATTTTCGAAACAACGCAATACCGCTATTTGGAAATTCTTCGAGAAATACGAGGCTTCACTGGAGATTGTATATGCGTAAGTATTTTAAGGTCTTTTATGGCCTTTCCCGGGGAACTCCGGATGAGTCACACGCAGAAAAGTGGAAGTTAATCACACCCATACTAATGGTACTACCTGGTGCTTCTGTATTAGTGTGGTCAGACGTAAACAAGCTCTCGGGGTGACGTAGTCGTCTACTAATGGGTATTGTTGCCTCCGGGTATTGTTGTAGCTATTATGACCAGATCTGTGCTCTGGAGACAAAGATATCGGTTAGCGAACTGCAGATACCCTTCAAGTGGAAGGATGCCTTCGACAAGGGCTCCATTTTCGGTGGCAAAATTAGCCTGAGTAAGTGATTCATCCATAAGCCGCATATTTCACCACTGACCGTCCTCACAATCTCCGATAGCCCACACCTCCCTACTCTACGAGAAGGTATGCGTCCTCTTCAACATCGCCGCCCTGCAGAGCAGCATCGCTGCTAATCAACAACTGGATTCGGATGAGGGTCTCAAACTGGCCATTAAGCTCCTTCAGCAGAGCGCCGGCATCTTCCAGTACCTGAAAGGAGCCACGCCAGCTGCGGTGCCTTCGGAGCCCACTCCCGATCTCAGCCAGGACACACTGACCGTTCTACAGGCTTTGATGGTCGCCCAAGCCCAGGAGGTATTCATCTTAAAGGCTATTAAAGGTATGCTGAAATATATTTAAACTACAGCCCAAGACCCATCCTAACAACCACAAGTATTCTTATCTATGAGCTAAATATTAATATTTACACAAGGCGATAAAACTATTATCACTCATCTTTATTAAAGCTCTCAAATGATAATCTTTTTAATTGTAAATAAGGTGTTTGTATAATTTCAAGTCTAACCCATTTTTGGTTCTTAAAAATCTGTTCAAGTAACTTATAATCTCTAAAAGCGCTCAAAGCATCAAATAAATAAAATGCATATTTTATTGTCCCATGAAATAAATTATGGCAAAACTAAATAACCAAAACCACCAACCAAATTAATCATATAATAATAAAATCTTTTTAAACGAACGATTATTATTATAGATTCAATTAATGAGTAGAAATTTGCAAACATAACTCAACTGCGGTCCAGTAAATATTTATAACTTACATTCCTTGCCCTCCCTCAGATAACATGAAGGACCAGATCATCGCCAAGCTGTGCTGCCAGGCGGAGGAGTTCTACGCCGATGTGCTGCGTGCCATGCAAAAGGAGTCAGTTCGCAGTCTGTGGGAGAAGGAGTGGATCCCTAATATAGCTGGAAAGCAGGCCGGCTTCCATGCCCTCACCCAACTGTACCAGAGTCTTGTGTGCCGTGCCTCCAAGAAGATTGGCGAGGAGATTGCCCGTTTGCGCAATGCCATTGAACTTTTCAAGGCGGCGCAGTCTCGCGGTGGAAATGAGACCTACTTGGACGAATACTTTAGCCGCGCCAAGCGCAATCTGGCAGAGTCCACCAAGGACAATGAATTTATCTACAACGAGATTATACCCGATCTGAGCACGCTGGCATCGCCGGGCAAGGCTCAGTTGGCTAAACCGCTGCCCATCGGTGTGCCCCTGGCAGCAAACTTTAAGGATATCTTCTCCAGCCTGGTGCCCGTAGAGCTTCACCGCGCTCTCACGGCCTCCGATATGCGCCGCAATGAGATTGTAAATGTGGAGATTATGAAGCTGCGAGAGTCTACACAGACTCTGAACGCCGTGCTGGCCAGCTTGAATCTACCAGCTGCTGTGGAGACAGCTGATGGCAACAGTGGGCTTCCGCCGTCACTGAAGGACAAGGCCGTTGAGGTTCGTCAGAAGGGCGGTATTGAGAATGTGCAGACGATGCTCAAGGATCTTCCCGAGTTATTGAACCGCAACCGGGAGATCCTAGATGAAACCGATCGACTATTGGACGAGGAACGCGATTCCGACAACCAGTTGCGGGCTCAGTTCAAGGAGCGCTGGACTCGCATTAGCTCTGACAAGCTGACGGAGATGTTCCGCACCAACGCGAAGAAGTACCGTGAGGTCATCACCAATGCCATTGAAGCCGACAAGGTGGTTCGACAGAAATTCGAGGCTAACCAGAAGGGCATCCAATTGCTGTCCTTGCCACCGGATCAAATCCAGCAATCCCTTCCATCGGCCAGCGGCAGTGTGGATCCCAACTGCTCCAGCGTGCAGCGTCTTAAAAAACTGATGGACGACGTAGAGACCATTAAAGCGGAGCGGGAAGCCGTGGAGTCGGAACTGAAGTCCGCTACGTTCGACATGAAGGATGAGTTTTTGATTGCCCTGCAAAAGGATGGTGCTATCGATGAGCCCGCTCTGTCATTGGCTCGTATTGGTCAGGTGCTCAATCCCCTGCAGCAGCAGGTGCGTGAAAGCGTGGAACGCCAACAGTCACTGGTCGCCGACATTCAGAGCGCCCATGGAGACTTTGTCTCGGAGACGGGAAGCTGCGGCAGTTCGCGGGACACCTTGTACCAGGAACTGGCCACCGCCTACGACAGCTACATAGAGCTGTCCGGAAATCTATTGGAGGGCACCAAGTTCTACAATGACCTCACACAGCTGCTGGTCGTATTCCAGAACAAGATCAGCGACTTTGTGTTTGCCCGCAAGACAGAGAAGGAGGAACTACTCAAGGATCTAACCACGGAGTCAAGTCGCCAGGCTTGTCCGGCCACTCCAGCACTGCCCTCGCACTACACCTCCACCTCAGGCAGTGGCAGCGGTAATTATAGACACTTAACTTAAATAAGAAAAAGGTAATCAACCCTGCTTTCCCCTTTAGATATTCCACCTGGTTCCGCTCCAAGTGTGCCACCAGTAGCATCAACGGCCAACATTCCGTATCCGGCACAGGTGCACGGCATGCCAATTCCGTATGGAGCCCAGCCAGGAGTGCCCTATCCCTCATATGTGCCCGCGCCCATGCCACAAAGCTTCAATCCATACGCAACCTTGCAGTACCCTGGTAGTAAGTAAAAAAGCACTAATAATACGAATCTCCAATAATGATTGATTTCTCCAGCAGCCTATCAGTACCAAGGATTTCCGCAGGGTCCTCCACCCGGCCACTACGGAACCTACCCCGGCAGCTATGCCAACCAGCAGGGCGGATACCCCAACCAGAAGCCACCAGGCTGGTAAACGGATTTTACCTTATCAAGTTCATGTCCACATGTGCACAGCATGTTCCGCCCAAGGGTCAATCGCATGGCAGAGCCTCAGATGAGTCTGGATGGATGGATAGAGAGGCAAGATGGATGGTATTCGGCATTTAATGCTCCGTGTTCTGGTTCTGTTTGGAAATTGTATCATACATGTTGATGGCTTATTGGATTTTAATCTCATATATGCAACAATATTATCACGTATCACAGTAAAGATTATGTTCTTAAATTTGCATGTTCAGCTAAGACGTGTTGCTTTGTCTCAGTCTTCGGAAGAACTCGCGTTTCATTCCCGCAATTACGCGCGGAGCACACATGCTGCTCACGAGGAGCTCCCAGGTGGAGCTGATGGGAGATGGCTCAAGTGGACTCGTATCTGACTGGAATCTCTTGGCGTTACTGTTCATCAATAGCTTGTACTCCTCTTGGGACATCACTTCCAAAGGCCGCGCGCTCAGGTTGTTGCTATTGAGAAGGCTCTGCCAATCCGCTTGGCTGATGTAGTCGGTTTCCCAGAGCTTGCGATTGCTCTGACGGCTTTCCATATTCTGCACCGCGCGCTCGAACTGGGCGAAAAGCTCGCTTGGCCTGGCCGAGATGTCCTCTAGCTGGTTGGGATTAAGAAGGTACTGCTTCATCTGATCGCTCTCGCCCTTGACGAAGCTCTCTACGATGTGCTTAACTAGGAACTCGTCCAAAGCCAGGTCCATGTCCACTTTGAGCGGCACCCAGTAGTTGACACTAAGCGAGGTGGACATAGCCTCCACGTAGTGCCACCAGTGGCGTGGGACGATGAGCACATCGCCAGCCTGAAGGTTGCAATGATAGGCATCACGGCCTAGTTCCAAAAAGTGCTGGATCTTCTCCGGATCCGGCGCGTAGAAGTTTTCCAGGCAGTAGACACTGGACTCCTCATAGGGAATTCTCGTGCTTTGCAGTGGCGTTTCGGGCGGAAAGAGCAGCCAGGATTTACAGCCGTGCACCTGCACCACGATGTTCACGCCAAAGGTGTCGTAGTGACATGGCGTGTTGGCCTGTTCCGACCCCAGCCAGAGACTAAAGTCGTTGCCGTGCTCCGGGAAGCCGAAGCAGGAGAAGTCTATGCCTTTCAGGCAACTGGCAGGCATTTCGTGAGCGCGCTTGTACTGGTACGCCGCCCAGTGGGTCTGATTATCCTCCAGGACGCCGAACTCGCGCAGGAACTGCTGCATGCCCAGATTACTGGCTTTGGTCCGCTTCCGCTCCCACTGTGGTGTTCTGCTGTCCGACAAGGCCATCAGCTCAAATTCTGGAGGATCGGTGGCCTCCTGGTCAAACCGCTCGCACCAGTCGTGCACTGAGCCCTCGAAGCACTCCCATTCCAGCGGAAACTGGTTCAGGATGAGTGGCACGCGGGTGTTTAGGATAAGATCCTTCAGCTGAGAGTTCAGTGCCATTTTTATTTGTTTATTTTTCGATAAGTCAGTGTGGCTGATACTCAACCCCAATAAAATAACTTTTTTTTTACTTTGGGCCACAATAATGACGTGACGGGAATAATTAAAGACTTCCCATTTAAACAATTTGAAAAAGAATTCTTTTATTTGCGATGTCTATATAAGTAACGATTTCAGATTACCTATAAAAATCAACATTTTAAACTATACCGCCCACCGGATAAGCTGATATTTTTTTTTCTGACACCAGGTGAGCTTTGTGGGGTATTTCGTGGATCGCTATCTGGGCACACCGCAACCACCCGGCTTTTCCCGCCTCCTCTTCCTTATCGCCATTCGTTCTCCATTCGCCAATTGGATCTTGTCGCGAAACTTTCAACTATAGTACAAATATGTCTGCTACCGAGGGCAAGGTGAGCAGCAGGGGGAATATTAATTAGCAGAAACACTCCCTGGCTATCAATTTCACCCCCAGGTAATCACATGCAAAGCTGCTGTAGCCTGGGAGGCCAAGAAGCCGCTGGTCATCGAGGACATCCAGGTGGCGCCGCCCAATGCGCATGAGGTATGTCGATATTTGGAAAATTCCACTCTAGATTATCCGATTCGGTAATCACCGCAAATCTTTGGAAAGGTGCGCATCAAGATCACGGCCACAGGTGTCTGCCACACGGATGCCTTCACCCTCAGCGGTGCGGATCCGGAGGGTCTTTTCCCATCCGTCCTTGGCCACGAGGGTTCCGGCATCGTCGAAAGCGTTGGCGAGGGAGTTACCAACTTCAAGGCAGGCGACCATGTCATCGCCCTGTACATCCCGCAGTGCAACGAGTGCAAGTTCTGCAAGAGCGGCAAGACGAATCTCTGCCAAAAGATTCGACTGACCCAGGGCGCTGGAGTCATGCCCGACGGCACCTCCCGCCTTAGTTGCAAGGGTCAACAGCTGTTCCACTTCATGGGCACCTCCACTTTCGCCGAGTACACGGTTGTAGCTGATATTTCGCTAACCAAGATCAACGAGAAGGCACCGCTGGAGAAGGTCTGTCTGCTTGGCTGCGGCATCTCCACGGGCTACGGAGCCGCGCTGAACACAGCCAAGGTGGGTCCACTAAAGGTTTCTCTTATTATTAGTTACATAATCCATCCTTCCAGGTGGAACCCGGAAGCACCTGCGCTGTATGGGGCTTGGGAGCTGTAGGATTGGCCGTCGGACTTGGCTGCAAGAAGGCTGGCGCCGGCAAGATCTATGGCATCGACATCAATCCCGACAAATTTGAGTTAGCCAAGAAGTTTGGCTTCACCGACTTTGTCAACCCCAAGGATGTGGCCGACAAGGGATCCATCCAGAACTACCTGATTGACCTGACCGATGGTGGATTCGATTACACATTCGAGTGCATTGGCAATGTGAACACCATGCGCTCCGCTTTGGAGGCCACTCACAAGGGATGGGGCACCTCGGTGGTGATCGGAGTGGCCGGTGCTGGCCAGGAGATCTCCACTCGACCCTTCCAGCTGGTCGTGGGTCGCGTGTGGAAGGGATCCGCCTTCGGAGGCTGGCGCTCCGTTTCGGATGTGCCCAAACTGGTGGAGGACTACTTGAAGAAGGATCTGCTGGTGGACGAGTTCATCACCCACGAACTACCGCTATCTGAGATCAACGAGGCATTTGACCTGATGCACAGGGGCGAAAGCATTCGCTCCATTATCAAGTACTGAGTATGAGATAACGTTCGAGTGACGTCCGAGATGATTTTCTTTTCACTTTTTATACCAGCTGGCAATTGCATGCGATTGCTTAGAATAATAAACACCCAGTATATATGTAATACAATCTCTTTTGGGGGTCTGGTTCCTTTTTCTTATGTGTGTTTACCCCTCATAATTGCTGGGCTTTGCTTTATCTGCCTTGGCCCACTAAGGCTATCGGGCTCAAAGTTCAACAACTTTGAAATGTTCGAGATTGTGGTTTCACTAAATATAGTATTTCGTAACTTTAGTTAAGAATTCTCAAGCCAAAGCCGGACATCCTTCACAGCATTGAAAAACATTTGCATATAGCACATAACAACTATGAAGGCGTGATGTGTTAGTTAGGAGAAAACAGAACGACAATAAATATTTGCGTTGCTCTTAGATAAAAGTATGTAGATGTATAAACTAGATATGCTCCCAATAAAAAGTCCGGATTACACGTATAGAATGTCTGTATTTAAATACGCACTACAACAAGGTTTGCAGACAAACGCGCGCAAATACTTAAAAATGCTAATAATTCTAGTATGTTGTTGTGTTTAACAAACGTGCATGCAGTTTTGGTTTCGTCGTTTATATATAATTTTCATTTTAAATGCATATTTCTTATGGAACTCGCTAGCTTATATACAAGTGTCTTTTAAATAGTACGGTATTGCATATGTATACGAGTAAAACGTTAAATTTGTTCGACTTTACTTTTGACTAAGAGTGTAAAAACATAAATAGCTGTCATTTAAGAATATTCTAGAGTATAAATATGTTACTTACGCCTAGAAGAGTATAAATACGTTTGTAAGACTGTTTTTGTGGGCATTAGAACTTGAATCGATCAAAAACACAAGAGATGGTATATAGGGAGCTATGGATTATTCTAGGGGTTGGTTTCGGTTTGAAATTATTTGAGCACGGGCAGGACCAGAACAGTCCGCCTCACATTCGCGAATTGTAGTACGGGTCGTCCTCGCAGGGTGGATATCCGTACAGGTACGGATGGTGGCATTGCACTCACGACCAGCGCGACTTTTGCAGGTCGATTTGGCCCTCCAAGGTCTTGGCCAGATAGATGACGAACAGCTGAAGCAGAGCGATCCCCAGGGCCACGCCGGCAATCACATACAAGTTACGCTCCACCCAGACGCGGACGATTTCGATGCAGCCGCTAGTCCAGATGCGCTTACTAGCGGCAGCCACCGATTGCTCCTGCACGCCGTATCCGCACATAATGTTCACCAGGCCGGAGCTGATGTCGGTGGCATTGATGCAGCAGCTGTATGGCACGCCGCACTTTTCAACTGACGGTGAGGAGCAGTTGAAGTACTCGTTTTTGCCTTGTTTGGTGAAAGATTGATTAAATTTATTTTGCTTTAATACCTGCACAACTTATCATATTAAAAAAAACAGTATTTTTTGTTTAAATGATTCATTGATCGCAAGTGTTCTAAATTTTTCGAAGATTTAATGGGATCAACTAATGGATCTAAATAGTATAAATTTTTGGTATTGTTATTTCACAATTTAAGAAGTTAAGAATAATTTGGATTGAGCCCAAAAGTTACGAAATCGTTAAAGTGACGGACTAGCAATAGTTATACTCATTTCTACTAAGGTCAAGTTGAGTTTTTTAGAAACCTTTAAGTATAAACATACTTTCTATGAACAAATCTAGGTCTAACAATTTTTACTCCATTTATATGATAGACTAGGACTACTTACTCCAATCCTGGTATCCGGCGTTGCTCAGGCCACAGCACTTGAACTCCTGCTGGGCAAAGTCGATGAAGTTCTGCAGGTCGGAGTCGTCGCGGTACGAGTGGATGATCTTGTCCGTGAACTGGTACTCAAGGAAGGAGTTCATGTATTGCGGGAAGACAAAGCAGATGATGGCCAGCGTCATCTCGAGGATGAAGAACATGAGCAGGCACATCGAGTAGAACTTCAGGAGACAGGTGTTTTCGCGCAGTGCTCCCAAACAGCCTGCGAAGCTGACCGAGAAGACGACGACCCCGGCGATGATCATCACAAGGGAAATGTTGAAGAACACATCGTAGACCGTGTCAAATCTCACCCAGCCGTTGCCGTCCTTCAGCTTGTCCATGAAGGCGTAAACGCCGATGGCCAGGAGCAGGCCGCCAAAGAGCCAGAAGAGGAAGTTTAGCAGGAAGATCATGTACTTCACGCACGAGGACACGTAGGTGAAGTGGTGTGGATAGGACATCCGGGGATGCATGTAATTCCCCCCCTGATGGTATCTGTGGTTGCTCATGGCCTCGAGAATTCCGGTTTGCGATGGAGTGTTTGGCTGAGTCTTACTTTTCCTAGACTTTTTGTTCTGGTTTACTCCCCCACGACTTTTTGTTGACGCCCTCTTTGCGTGTGGTCTTTTCTGCGACCTGCTCGAGCGATTAGCACATATTTCGAACTGCGGAAGTGGCTGGGACCCCAAATCTGGTTAGTCGCGCAGCTAATTTTATGTTTTCCTATGTTTCTTTTTCTAATACTGATAAACAATTTGATGGAGAAAAAATAACAAAGTACCCAGTGTTGCCAGACTGGTTATCGCGCTAACTGACCAACTGCGCAGTGGTTGGCAACGCTGGGAGCCAGCTGTTTGCAAGAAGTGTGACCGGAAGACAGGGACGGTGAAATACCATAATTTCATATTCGACTTGATTGGCAACGCAGGCAGCCAGCTGTTTGATTTTTCATGGGCAGCTGTTTTTCGAGCAGCTTTTTTGTATTAGTTTTTAATTTTCCATCGCTGCGTAACATTGGGACGCACGCTTGCTGAACGATTGGCGGACTCATAAACAAAAGGCCAAAAATAGCAGCAAAGCAACACCATTTCTGGCGCTATTCACCAGGTGAGAAGTTTTCCAGGGAAAATCCAAGGACACGCGTGTTTAGCGTGGGAAAATGTGTGTGTATTTTTTTTAGTGACATTGGCGAAGAATAGCGAGCGAATTTTCTTTAATGAGCGTTGCTTTCTCCCTAATGCGCTTTCTCCCTGCAAATCACACAAACACACGAATCAAGCCAAACGAAAATAGAACGGAAAAATTCGAATAAAGACGGAAGTGGCAACGCGCATTGCATAAATATTAGTTCGCGTGGTCGCAGTAGACAAAACATTGACTTTCCGCCGTTTTCCCCAACGCTTTTCTTCTTTGATTAAATAACCAGGCAGTGCCAAGTGCAGTTGTCGCCTGAAATTAGCCTAAAATGTTTTCACTTTCTCGCCACGCACTGCGGCGCACTCGAATTTTCGCCACAAACCGCTACTTTTCAGGTGAGTGACAGGTGAAAAAAAAAGAAAAATAGTTTGGAATACCTGTGGGTGTGTCCCGCTTTCAACCAAAAACAATAAGCTGCTCTCATCGCATCGATTGGCCATCCTCTAATTTTAGACACAATTTCTAGTTCAAATTGCCGCCTCGTTTGCATTCTTTATGAACGAACGCAATTTCCCCCGCTATTTTCAGCCTTTGCTCGAAATTAATTCATTGTCTTCAATTGCCCGCGACACACTTCGCTGGCTTTTCTATTGTTGCACTCGGAAAACCCAAAATAAAAGGTGACTACCCCTCCTCCTTCGACTTTGCTTTCGTGTGTTTACTTTGGGCGCCACTTCGCTTAATTGCCGGCGGGCAGCGTAAAACTATTTTTGGCCCAATGCGTTTTCGTTTCTCCACTCCATTTGATGGCTGCACTTAACAAATCTGTTTACACCTTCACCAATTAGCCGCGATGTTTGTATACAAATTCGTTGGCTGCACAACTCCAATTTGGAATTCCCCATGTTTTGGGGGTCTTATGATTCGAATAGGAGCTGATCATTTTACATCTAACAACGCCTACGCAAAGTGCCCCACTTTTTGAATATTTGTCGATTTATTTATAGTCTGCTATTTATAGTCTATATTTACATTTAGAACATGCCGATTTGGTAACAAAATGTAAACATATATTTTCTTCTCATTATAAGCATGTATCCGGCAAATGAAATTATTATTATATTATTGAAAATAAATCATAAATCATTTAAAAACAAAATTAGTTTTATCAAGATTATAAACCCAACTTATTTTCGTTTCGTTTATGGCTCAAATCGAGTTCTTACCAAAACAAGATGATTATGTGTTTTGGGAAAATATTTTTCGCAATTCATCGTTGATAATCTAAGGCACCTGGTTCTTATCGGTAGAGCGCCAAAAGATGGCATTTAAATCAGAAGATTAAGATTGTCCAAGGTTTAGTTGAAAGTACCTATTTGATAAGTGCAAGATTACCTAGGGAAATCTTACAGAAGCTTGGCGACCATAAATATCCTCCATAACAATAGCTCAGTTTCCATTACCTAACTGGTGGTGAGCTGGGCGGTTTCAGAAAAGCACACATAACTCAACCGCAAAATAAATACTAAAGTATTGAATTTCAGATTCACGTCAAGACAGCGACAACCCGGCGAAAAGGTATTCCGGCAAAGCGACTATGGATAACAAGAGCGAAAAGGTTACAGTGAACAAGGAGGAGCTGCGCAAGCGCCTGACCCCAATGCAGTATCAGGTTACCCAGGAGGCAGGAACAGAGCGCCCATTCACAGGTGGGCATTCCCTTAGAATTTCATTACCATAATACTTTGTTCTCTTATTTAGGTTACTATTAGAAAATCTTTATTCTTAAAAGCTTTACATATGGAGCGCCTTATACATTCCAATAAGTAAATCACTAATAAACATAAAAATCAAAGATTTCTCTTGAACTACATACATCCTTCAAAAACCAACTAAATATTAGCCTTTAAAAATACGGTCCTCAAATTATAAAAAAATATGCTCAAGACCATCAGTAAAAACTAAAAGATTTTACGGTTTCTTTAGGTAGATTTTTAACCAACAAAATGAATATTTAAAATATTCAACAAATTATTAACGTTCACCATTTAATCAGTTCACTTAATTGAATAAGAAATCAAAGTGCTATTAAGACAGCAACTAACTTATTATCTGTTTAAATCCCGCAGGCTGCTACAACAAGCACTACGAGAAGGGCGTGTACCAGTGCATCGTGTGCCACCAGGACCTGTTTAGCTCGGACACCAAATACGATTCCGGCTGCGGATGGCCGGCCTTCAACGACGTCCTCGACAAGGGCAAGGTCACCCTGCACCGCGACGCCAGCATACCAGGTGCGTATCGCCCATGTGGCCCACTTTCCGGCCAGCTAGCCACTAGGTGGCCTAGACATTGTTTCGCACTCTTAGCTGTTATTTGCAAACCGTTTTGAGTTCTGTTTTTATTTGAGTTGCTGTTTCGTTGCCGCACCCAAAAGTTGAGAATGAAATTTGCGTTGAGCCTAGGAGACAATAAAACCGTGTCTGGACGAAAGGAAAACATGCATAGTTATCATGTGAAAATAAGAGCGGTCATAAAATTAAACGAGTGTTTAGAAAAGTAAACAAATATTTACTACGTTTATACCAAAGCCTCAAAAGCTGAACAGTATTAACTGTGACTGATGGCCGAATTCTATAATCTACAAAATATTTGTTTTACACTAATTAATAGTAACAAAGTAATGGTAGAAAAATGCAGAATTGCTTTACTTCCGTGTCTTGAAATTATTTTTAAAATTTCTTTAAATACTTTTGTAGATATAAAAAACAATGCATTTAAAAAGACTCTTAATTTTATTATAAAATCAAATGCCTGATATAATATGTGATAATAAGTAACAGTAAATACACCAAATTATAGATTAAGGCAAAATAAAGGCTTATAGACGTAGTAAAATGTAGCCAAGATACCAAAGAAATAGTAAATTAACTCATTCCTGATTTGTGCTGTTTGTGCTGCCTTGTTTGTTGTTATGTTTCGGCTTTGTTTGTCTTGATCGTAAACTGTGCCCAGAGTTCACTGTAGTTGTGCCGTTGGCCGTTGGCCTTGTCGTTGTTATACTGTTATACTGTCTAGTCTTGTGGCGTTGATTGTGACTTGTGAGTGTTCCTGCTGCCGTTGCAGCACCTGAATGTGCAACTGAGCGAGGAGAAGCGACTAAAATTAATTCCTAACCGAGTATTGTGTTCTCTTATCCCCTCTTCTATCCCGCCTGACTTTCTCGAAACTTCTTTCTCTTAAAACGAATTACACACACACACACATAAAACAAACTCCATTTCGACTCTGAACCCCCCGAGTATCACTGTTAAACCGATTAAACCAACAGTAGTCATTTCGAAAACGCTAGGCATGGTGCGCACAGAGGTGCGCTGCTCCCGCTGCTCCGCCCACATGGGCCACGTCTTCGACGACGGACCGCCGCCCAAGCATCGCCGCTTCTGCATCAACTCCGCCTCCATCGATTTTGTGAAAAGCTCGGCGCCATCGAAGGCGGATCCTCCGACGGCCTCGTCCAAGAAATAATGACCGATATGCCTGCGATTCTCAACGAAGATTATATCCGGAGGAGCCCCATATAGACCTGGAAGATATACTGTATACCACGGGGAGTTAGAGCAGATATATCTCTACAGCACCTTTCTAAGACCTTCATGCCTGAAAAAAGATTTTTCGCAATTTTATAGGAGTTTATTATGCTAAAAAAAAGTTTAACAAAAAACAAAGCTTGTACAAGAACGATGTTTGGAAATGTATTATGGAACGAGGAGTGAGAGATTAGTGTTGTAGATCAGTCCAAGAACCCATTTACTTATCTTTCCTTTCACCTTTCATCTAAGTCTACTCTGTTTCGGTTTCAAATCTCTATTATACTGCCGGATGGTGAAAAATTGAGTAATTTTATAAAAGCTTATTCCGGATTTGTAAACGAAAAAAGGAATCTATAATTCCTGTTATTGGTTTATGCACACTTTTTGGTTGGCCCTCATCTATTACTGAATAGTACGAACTCTACTTCTTTTGTTACGTAATCTTAGGAAATATTGTACGTTAATAATATTTAACATATTTCGTAGGAGTTTACATGTTAAATCAAACAATTATGTTTGGGCAAAGTTACAAGTGTATTAAGGATCAGTCTAGGGTTTCCATATTTGGTTTATCTAAGTTTTTTTTCGGTTGAATGTCATCTTACACCCCTTTTTCAGTTATAAATCCACAAAAAAAAAGTGGAGAACATAAAAGCTTATTTCATATTCCCATTTCGATCATTATCCAAGGTCGGTTGGCTTTATTTTTGGGCCAGGGCCATTATGTGTTTGTTTGTAAGTGTGTAGCGCTTTTATTTTAAAATATTTCCGCATATGTATTTTATTTGCTGGTGTTGTAATTTGTTTTCTACGATCTTGCTTTTATTTATAATTTTGTTGCTTCTTACTCATGGTCAATGTCTTTTTGAATAACATAACTCTAATATTGTAACCAACATTATATCCATAAACTTTATAGAGTGTCTCAAGCCAATCGAATAATGTGTATTTTCGTATATTTTCTATTTCTCTTTTTTTAACTCGCTTCCAAAAACAAAACAAAAACAAAAAAAAACTAAATGTACGCCTATAAACGTTATTTGGGGGTTTGTTTTGCTAACAAAAAACACTACTCACTGCTGAAATTGTAACACCCAATACACGACACATAAAATGCTTAATTAACCAAAATAATATGTACACCAAATCACTCGGAAAACGATCATTATTTCTGATTCGTCATGTTTTTCACCTAATTTATGTGATTTCATTTCATCATTTTCAACTGCCGCCGTCCATTCTTATTTATCGCTCTCTTCTGCACCACTTCTTTCGCCTTGTTCTTCGCTCTTCGATGCACCTCCCACTTATTTGCCGTGATTTCTTCGATCTGTCTCTGTTTTTATCTTCCTGCTTTTCATTTATCACCCATTTTGCAATCAATTTTCTATTTCTGTTGATTTGTTTACAACGAAAACTTTGAATTACCCTTGCAAAACGATCCAAAAAAATTAAAATATTGTAAAAAAAAATGTGAAACAAATGCGCTACAAAAAAAAAAACAAAACGTATCCAATTAATCCCACAAAATGGCAAAATGCAAACTAAATAGGGGGCAATATTTTACTACTAATCGCACATCCAGAACGTATACGCACCGAGGTCCGCTGCGCCCGCTGCAACGCCCACATGGGTCACGTCTTCGAGGATGGTCCGAAACCGACCCGCAAACGCTACTGCATCAATTCCGCCTCCATTGAGTTCGTGACCGCGGATCCCGCCACCTCCACCCCGCCCGTGGCCACGCCCACATCGGCGCCCATTGCCCAGCAGTGAGGGAACTGGGGGAAACCCCCTTGCCAAGATTAACCATCCACGGATAGCGGAGAAGCCCAACCTCAATGTCTCGTTGCTGTTAAGAATTTTTCTACGTGTATCTTTCTAACTTTCCGTGGCCAATTTTAGCTCGTAGTCAGTCAAAACCCCCACTAAATTCCACGTGTGCCCCTCTGTTTGTGTAAATAGCTAACGTTTTGCCTCTAAATTTGTTTGATATGCATACAAATCCGAATACTCTGTACCACACTCAACTTATTACTAATTTTAAACTGAGCGCGCTAAATAAACGTGTGTTTTTTACAATACCAATGTGTTTTTTACCACTACTTAATGGGTGAAAAGGTTGCTTTCGGACCGAATTTCCACTAACCCAGAAACCAAAGATTTCAGCGAAGGAGTATATAAATCCTTTATTTATCAATTTTCAACACATGAAAATATAGAAATGTTTTTAAAAATTTATTTTAAACTAATATTAATTGCTTAAAGCACCTATTATTTTGAACACAGCTGTAAGTGACGGTCAGGTGAGAACAGAACAGCTGAGCCGCGTTGCCAACCATTCGAGCTGTTTGTGCGAACAGATGCTGCAGCGTTGTTGTTGTTTGCGTGACGTAACAGCCGGCAACGCAACATGAAATCGAATTTATTTATGGCTCGGAAGTCAATTGATTTTAATTGCCGCTTTCGTATAAGGTAAAATAAATGTTTATTATACCCAAAGTGCTGTGCTGGCGACAAATCGATAGCAACGTCTATATTGAAAACGACGATCATTCAATTTTTGGCATTCAACACGTGTGGAAAACTGCAGAACAAGCCCACCTGTGCGCTTATATGTATATACGATGGTTTATATATGATATGACTTTCAAAAAGTAAACGACAGATTGACAGACCGTATTATAAATTCGCCATTATCTAAGAGCGATTTCTGTGTAAATACATTGCGGGCACTTGGAGGTGATAATTTCGGATCCGCGTAGTGAAGAGATTAGATTGAGTACACGACGACGACGAGACCATGGCGTGAAACGCCAGATTTTCCGAGAGTCTAGGCAATATATTGAGCTTCACCTGTCCACATGCAGAAAACCAACTAAGGGCATCCGATTCAAGCGCTCTTCGTCTAATTGTGTTACGTGCCATTACGTTGTTTATTACGTCAGTGACCGTTAGAAGGTTGCAAAGATGAGGGAGTGGCTAAAGATTTCCTGTCTGTTGTGCGTCTTCGGCTGCATCCGCGAGATCCGTCCATCGGAGCCCTATGTCACGGAGTACCTCCTGGGTCCCTGGCGGAATATCACGGAGGAACAGGTGTGCAGTAAAGTATTACTGATTAACCATTTGTAATAATGATAGTTTGTTTTTCTTCCAGCTAACCCATGATGTCTATCCAGTGGGCACCTATTCTTACCTCGTTCAGCTGGTCTTTGTTTTCTTAATAACAGATTTCCTGAGGTAAATATAAATTTGTCATAATTAAGTGACGGTGTTTTTTTCTTTGGTGTTCATTTCAAATTATAATAAAAAAGTATTTTCAATTTAAAAATTACAACAATTAATACTTGTTAAGTAAAAATCAGATATTTTAAAAATTTATTTGGCTTTAAAAAAATTTAATGTGTTTTCATCTTAATTGGAATTAGTTTTAGTTTATTTTGTACTGCACCTTAAACTCCACCTGTAAAAATTGCAAGACTGATTATAATTAAATAAAACACGTCTGATAACAATTTGGCCTTACTCTTCAAAGTCATACTTTTAACTCTACTAGCCAAAAATTCATTTCGAGTCAGCCAAATTCATTTGCAAGGGAAAAAGCAACCAAATGTGTGACAAAGCTAAAAATCGAACAGCTCTGATTTTACATTAACTCGACAAACATTTCACTATAGTGTTTTCTGTTTTGCTATAGGTATAAGCCGCTAATTATCACTATTGGTGCCACTGGAGTGATAATCTGGAGCATGCTCATCTGGACCACCAGTCTGCTGTCCCTGCAGATCCTAGAAGTATTATACGGCACCTATATGGCCGCCGAGGTGGCCTACTATACGTATATCTATGCCAAAGTGGATAAGAAGTATTATCCCAAGGTAACCTCTCACACCCGAGCGGCCATGTTTGCCGGCAAGCTGATTTCCGGAATTACATCGCAGCTAATGCTCTATCTGGAGCTAATGAACTATAAAGAGCTGAACTATATAACGCTGGCCAGTAAGCACTTAAATAAGAGCTTAATTTAATTACAGAAAATCTCAGAATTCAAATATTAAACAAGAATTTTATTTACAGCTCAAATAATTGCCATGCTTTGGGCCTTCAGTTTACCCGCAGTGGATAAAAGTCTTTACTTCCATCGGGAGCAGTTGTCCATTGGGGATCAGCAGACCCAGTTGCCTGGGGAAGGCAACCTGGATGTGGTGGATCAGCCTCAAGAGCGTACTCCCAGACAGCCCGGAGCACTGGGTCTTTTGTGGAATCACTTCCACAATGCCTACACCAATCCGCGGGTCATTCAATGGAGTTTGTGGTACGCGATTGGGCTGGCCGGTTATTTGCAAGTAACTTACTACGTGCAGGTTCTGTGGAAAGTAATCGAACCAGAGCCTCTGATAGCCTGGAATGGAGCCGTTGACGCTGTTCTAACAGCTCTGGCCGCACTATTTGCATTGGGCGCAGGTTATCTGCACACTGGACGTCTCAGACCGCGAACATCTCTTCTGATCCTGGCCCTTTTGTCCGCCGTGGAGGGCGGCTGTGTGCTGATCTGCTGCTGGACGGAGGACATTTACTGGTCTTATACGGGATTCGTGCTGTTCGGAGCCCTCTACGGATTCACCATTACGGTGGCCAGGTGAGCTGCCTAATTTCCAGGTGTATCCATAATCTCAGCTTTCTTTTAATCTCTGCAGTGCTGAAGTGGCCCGAAATCTGCAGGAGGATAGCTTCGGGCTGGTTTTCGGCTTCAACACGTTGGTGGCCCTCATTTTCCAATCGCTCTTAACCATGATATTTGTGACGGATACGGGCTTTGAGCTTGACCCCGTTGGTCAGTACACCGTCTATGCTTTTTATTTTATTGCCGTGGGCGTGCTGTATCTGATATCCGTGCTGATTGAGTACATCTGGTTCCGCGATAACGATATCGAGAGGCTGGAGAACTCTCTGGATTAATTCCAGATGCATTTATCAAGTTCTTAAAGTCGCCAGTTGCCGATTTCCGATTGCCGGCCACAACTTTGTTACTTAAGAAAGACATGTTCCTATTGATGGAATACTATTAGATGGTACTCCCGCGATGGCTGATTGTATTCTTAGAATATTTAAGCCGTCTGTTCGGCAATCTGTTGCCGAGTTCCAAGTATTTTGTGCAGACTTCCATTTATAGAGCGCACAATCAATCTCAAGTGTGGCGGAATAAAGATACGGGGCTTTAATAGAATTACTCTGTGTTTTATTGATAGATCTCGTCGTTCACTAAACCTAATTATTTTAATTTATAAGGGGCTTAATGGACGAGGTAAATGATAGCTGTTTAATCAAAATACAGATTTCTAGTTCAAAAAAGACGATTATATATTAACACCAGGAAGTGGTTGGTAACAATTAAGCAATCGCGAACTAAAGTAGTTTGTCTAAGAATAAATTTAGCTGTAATTGATATCCATTTAATATGTGCTGGCTTCTGTTAGATCTAAGTAATACTAAAACTGAGTTTGTTGTCCAAAACAAATATTTTTATGAACGGAATTCCCTTAAGATCTAATACTAATATACCCGGAACAATAGTCTGTCGCTGATTATTAACTTATCAGTGTTGATATTTTGCATTTATAGATTACACACATATTAATAAACAGCACGGCTCTTTTAGATTCTCTGAGAATTTCACTGCAAGGTCCACTTAAGTGCCACGTTAATGGGCTAATTAGTTGATAATTTCTATGGCCAACTTGAAGTGGGAACCACACCAGCCGAGAGCAGCTCAATCAAGATCGTGATCATGTTTGGTGTAAGCGGAAACTTTCCGGAGACCCAACACACCACCCCTTCGCTCCGCTGGCCAGCAAAAAATGGGAGAACGCTTAGATCGTAAATCTCGAATGGCCCAGCACTGATTACAAACGTCGAAGTAAATCTCTATACTCGGGACTTGCCTACAAACCCCTCCGAGGAATATGCAATTATTATAATAGCTAGTCGAAGCTCCACGCTGCCAGACATATAGCCACTGCGAGCACAAAATCGCTGGCTAGCGTAAATTATCGCGATTAGATTTAAGCCGACAATCGTGGCGGGATGGAGTCTTGGCTGAAGATATCGTGGGTGCTCTGCATTTTCGGGTTCCTCCGGGAACTCCGCCCCTCGGAGCCTTACCATGCGGAGATCCTGATGGGCGAGTGGTATCACGTCACCCAGGATGAGGTCAACCGATCCGTCTACCCGGTGGGCACATACGCCTACCTGGCTCTCCTAATTTTCGTCTTCCTCATAACGGACTTACTCAGGTATAGTACCAGAAATGCAATCTTTATTGTCTGCCATAACTTTTTACTTGTTAATGTGCTACAGATACAAACCCGTGATTATCGCAAATGCTATTACGGGGATATGCATCTGGGGCACTCTGATCTGGACCAGCACTTTGAGGGGCCTGCAGGTGGTGGAGGTGTTCTATGGCTTTTATCAGGCGGCCGAGGTGGCCTACTACTCGTACATCTACGCCAAGGTGGACAAACAGTACTATCCTAGGGTGACCTCGCATACCCGGGCGGCCATGTTCGTGGGCAAACTGGTGGCCGGACTCCTGGCGCAGCTGGTGATCGGAATGCAGTGGATGAACTACAAACAACTGTTCTACATATCCGTGAGCTGTAGGTTCCCAGTAATCTAAATTAGATTACATAGTTCGTTTATTAACTAATCACGTTTATTGATAGCTCAAGTTGTGGCACTGCTTTGGGCCTTCGGCCTACCCAAAGTGGAAAAGAGTTTGTACTTCCACAACAAAACAGAAGCCATAAAAGGTGATACCAAACCGGATGATGGAGGCCTGGAAAAGGGCTCAGATCAGGGGAAACCGGAGGAAATTAAACCGAAAACATCGTCCAATCCAAGTGAGAAGATACCCGCGTGGCAGCTTCTCTGGTCACATTTCCGTAGTGCATATACCAATACATTAGTGGTACAATGGAGTTTATGGTATGCCATTAGCCTGGCTGGATTTCTGCAGATTACCACCTATATGCAGGTGGTGTGGAAGTCCTTCGAAAATGAGCCAACAGTGAGTTAATTATGATAATATAAAGAGTAAATGGGTAATCCTTGAGGTTTTTTCTGAAGATTGCTTGGAATGGAGCGGTGGACGTTGCTCTGACCCTTCTGAGTGCTGTCTTCGCCCTTCTCGCCGGATACTTCCATGCTGGACGTTTGAGCACCAGGAGCAGCTTGCTCTCGATGGCTCTTCTGTCGATCCTTGAAGGCGGTTGTGTGCTCCTTTCCTGCTGGACAGCCAATATATACCTTTCCTACCTGGGCTATGTGCTCTACGGTGGGTTATTTGCATTCACCATAACGGTGGCCAGGTAACTCCACAATAATTATCTTTCCATTATGCATTTATCAAAGCCTCTGCTATTATAGTTCAGAATTGGCCAGCAGCTTGCTGGAGGATAGCTTCGCTCTGGTTTTCGGTTTCAACACGTTTGTGGGCCTCATCCTGCAATGTATCCTGACATTTGCTGTTGTCTCGGAGAAAGCCAATCTAAATCTGGATGTTTTTCAGCAGTTTACAGTCTACGCCTTTTATTTTATTGTTATTGGAGTAGTATATTTTATAGTCGTTGCCCTACAATATATATTGTCATGCTCAAAGAGCTCAAAACAAATTCAAGAGGGAAACTGAACCTCTACGCTAAACATATTTTAATGTTGTGAAAGTTATTAGATACCTTTTAAAATCATGAATAATTTAGAAGTTTTTTAAAAGAAAGTACCCTTTTTTTATTTTCATATCGAAAAGGATATATATATATATATATATATAATATTGATCGGGTAGAGTTGCTTAAACACCTAATAATTATAGTTTTTACACTGGCAAAAAAGATATCAATAAATTTATTCGATCTTTATTCACAAGGGCTTTCTGACAAAAAGATATACATTTGTTAATTTTGTGTTTAATTCCAAGTAAAAATATTGGCATATGTGCAATTCTATTTCGTAAACACTTTATTTATTAAAATGTTTCTCTGGTCAAAATTAAAAAGGTTTGTAACCAAACGGTTTCTTCACAAAACTGAAAGGAAATTAATTATTAGATATGGAAACCAATCAGAGTGTACCATGTACATATTATGGTCACAAAAAACTTAATAACATAATCAAACATGATGTAAAATAAAAATAATTATTGACATTTTAAATTCAACATTTATAATTCTGAATACGGTTTGAGTCTATAGCTGGGCTAGCAGAACTCGGTTTGATCCCCGTCACTGCGGAGGACCGCCGAAACCCGCCACGTCATCGACTCGTAGAGCATTTCGATCTTGTCCACCATGTCCTGGTCGCTGTGCCAAACGTCGTACAAAACAGCCCGGAACTCGCCGACATTATTGGGCGCTTGGTTTTGAATCCTTGGCTGGATAATGGCCATCAGTTGCTCCAGTAGATTGAGGTCACTGCACACGGAGCCCTCAGGTCCCATTAAAGTGTCCAGGAAGATCTCTTTCGGCGGCGATGATTCGTCCACGAACTTAAGATCATCCATGTTGAAGATGTTGCGCCAGTCGCGTACCGTCCAATCCTGATGGGCTTTGGCCCAGGCCAATCTCTTTCTTTTGGCTTCCTCGCTGAGGCCAAGAGGGTTTGATTTTTTTGGGGACGGAGATCTCGGTTGCTGGTTGTTCTTGGAGCGAATCTCGCTGATTCTGCGCTGTAAGGTTCTGCGGCTCACCTCGATGCCGTGCCGGGCGAGTTCCCGCTGGACATCGATTGAGGTGAAGTGGGGATTATCGGTTAGCATCCGCTCGACAAGCTGCCGGTTTTCCAGGACCTTGGGTCGGCCCACCTCGCGCTTCTTTTCGTCATCCTGGGCGATCAGTGGCGATGTTGCTGCTGCTGCCTTCGGCCGCTGTGGCAATCTCAACGTGGCGGTCTTGCCCTCGAGCAGCTCACATTCCCGGATGCAGCTCATTACACTCTCCACGTCGCACTCCAGGATCTGGGCTATTTCCTCGCAGCTATTCGATCCCTTAAGGGCCTTCACAATACTTCGGACTTCAGGAGCCAGAACCATGTTGGATAACCTCTTCGCTCTTCGAGTTTCGCAATGCGAATGCTGTGGTGGATTTTGTTTACTTATTATTTGTATGAAAATATGGATATTTTACCAAACTTGCAGGTATAATTGAATTTGCGTTGGCGTATTTTATGGCTAGCAAGCTGCAATTACTCGGAATTACTGCGTCATTTCATTCAGGTAAATAGCGTCAGACGGCGTCCCTTTTTACCCTTCGCGCGGCCTTTCCTTTATTTGGATTTGGCAGGAATGGCAACCCTTATGAAGCAGCTGTTTTAGGGGAGGAATGTTTAAATCTCAGGATCAGCTGTGAAATACCAACACGCGAAACGAACGACTTTTTGATCACTCGAAAAAATGTACTACCGTGGCAAGTAGTTCGTCAAATAAAATATTGTAGCCATAACAATAGAATTAAACATACATTTTGTGATCAACCCAAAAATCAATAATCATATTACAACCTCAAATAATCTAAAACTGCAATTTAGTCTTAACAAGTCTAAATTATAACTTTAAAAACGTTATTTAAGCCAAGTATAGTGACGATTATATGAGAAAACAGACATTTCTAAAGGTTTGTGAAAACTTTGATAAAAAAATTCTGAGAGCTGTTCCAAAACTCGTTGATATGAATTCAAATTCATATGGCATCCCCGGAAAATTAAATTTTTTCTAGTGATCTTAACAAAATTGTAAAAGTTTCTGTTTCAGTAAAAAGATAATACAAATACAAATGAAAGTTCAAATTGTCTTCGTCTATACTATCGAAATTTCAGAAAGATAGCCAAGAAAATCTGAAATAACCACCACTGTGAAAACCATCCATCTTTACAACCAATTACCAAGACATTTGTAATTAAGTACGTATGCTTTGTTTTGAACATGCAATTTAATATTTGATTTCCTTTGATGCTTTGTAGAATTACAAAAATAAATATAAAAAACTTGTACATATGTAAGTGTTAGTTACCTCTACAGTAGGAAATGCAGTACACCTTTTGTTGAACTGTTAAAAATATATATGCCAGATGTTTTTGCTTGTCTTTTATGCTGTTTGTTTGTTTTTTTTTTTGTTTTACTTTCACCGTATTCAGTAGAGTTAGCGATTTGTAAAACTATGTTCAACTAAACATATATACTTGAGAGGTGCACATAGATTTGGAATTGCAAGTACCATAAAGATCAAATTTTGAGTACGCTTAAGCTCGCTAGAGTGGCTCAGCCTTCGAGGCGGCTGATTGAACTGATAGATATTAAAGCACATAATCGGGGGAAAGGCAACCGAATTAGCCACTTATTCTATGTGGCGATGGGGACCGTAGCAGAGTAATCGGAATTGTATAATTAAATAAATAACGCTAAAGTATGCCTAATTGGTTTAGATCCATGTGCTAGGTTTTGATTTGTGTGTGTCTGTTTTCGTTTCTCCATCGCTTTTGAGTGTTTGTGTGGGAGTGTGGAACTGGAGCTGGAGCTGGGGAAATCGAGAGTGTGGGATGGGCTGCTCGTAGTTAGTCATCCAGATCGATATCGGAGTCATCCGAGTCGTAGCCGCCGCGTATTGTCTTCTGTGGGCGGTTGATAAATGGTTTGCGTTTCGCATCTGGCGGCTGCATCAGGTCACCCTTGTAGTCAATGGCCCCCGAGTGGGCGATGCGCCACTCCAGCATCTCTGTGGCGAAGTCGTCGCAGTTGCCCAGATCGGTGAATCCCACAATAAAGTCCTTCGTCTTGCTGTCCTTCACCAGAGCAATGGTGGGTATCACCTTGATGCGCAGCCGCTGGGTAAGGAAGGGAGTTTTCTCGGCGTTCACCTTGCAGAACTTGGCCTCAACATGCTTGGCGGCCAGGATCTTCAGGTGCATGTCGACGATCTTGCAGCGCTCGGTGCTGTCCCGATAGAAGTGACAAACAATGTTGGGCGACTTTTTCGACATCTCAAAAAACTCCTTTTCGTCAGCCAGCTCGGTGTAAGTGCCGTGACCCTAGAAATTAGAGATTACAGCTTTAGTCAGGGTTTAATAGAGAGGAATTGGTAAAGGGATTGCTTTTTCCTTATAAATTGTGGGATCACCTAACATTGATATTATTAAATAGTTATAAAAATTGTTTGGACTTAATATTGCGGTATTATTAAAATTATTTTGATATACAACTTAAAAAATACATTAAAGGACTACAAAAATGTAATGAGTCTTATTGGAAGAAGCCTTAAATAACATTTAAATGCTGGTACTTATAGATATTATGGAAATATAACGACTTGAATTCCTTGGTTTTTGTTTGGGTCTATATATTAAATAAGAATGGAAAACAAAAAAATATACTAGTGTATATCATGAACTCTTATCTTGAAATCCATTGAGCTTCAGCTATTTATAGAGAATAACCTTTACACCTTATGGCCAAGAAAATAGTAAGACCTGCTAATATGACCTACGTTTCTAAGCCACTCCTGCTTCTTGTTGTTCAGGTCCTTCATCTCGCGGAGGCGCTGCTCCCTAAGGGCCTTTAGATCGTCCGAGTCTAGGTTGTCCAAGCGGTCTAGCTGCTGGTCCAGCTGCTGCTCGATGGTCTTGGCCGCCGTGAACAGTTGGTTCTCCAGAAGATGTGCCATGATGTCGTTTTGTCCAGTTGCTGCTCCTCTTGATTTCTCTCTGTTTTCCGTTTATTCGCCCTCTGCGTGTGGTGCGTTTGTGTTGGCGTCGATGGTCGGTGAGAGTGTGTATGTGCGTGTGGTTCCGGCACAAATGGAAAGGCGTAGCCATGGAGCCGCCGCAGATGCGTCATGTTTTGGGGAAAATTCAGTTAAGTAAGCATTGTTGTGGCGAATTTGGGCCGCATCTCAGTCTAAGCGGTCACAAATCGATTATTCAGAGGGTACTCACGCTGATTTTCCACTTATTTCATTGATTTTATTGCTTTTAAGTTTATTTAGACGTCTGAATCGGTGTGACCTCGGATCTTACATTAAAAATTACCAAGCTGCTTACGAAAGTTTAACATTAAAGAATACCACAAAAAAATACCAATAACACAAACAACGATAATTGTCGCGTCAATATTATTGTAAGCTTTTTTTAATTTATTTAAGTTCAAAAAACTTAAGCAAATGTATGCATTTGTACCTGTTTTACGTAAGGTAACAGATTGCTGCAGATTGCTATGTAAATAGTTATACCTTATTTGTTTCATAGCTTTAATTTTGAAGAAAACCGAAATCCTGACAGCAAATTGTGAAAACTTTATTTCTATTTGCTCTTTTTAAATTATCAAAAGGCCCATTATCAGATACAAAAAATATATTTGGACAACACAATATAGAGAACATACAAAGATATGACGATATTTTAAGAGCTGGTAAAAGATTTTTTTTAGTAAATAAAAGTACGAAATGTGCCAGTTATTTGAGCCAAATGATTATTACAGCCTCTTTACAACGCCCGCATTATTTACATTTTACGAAAATACCTATGAACGGGATATTTTTCCATAAAGAATCTGAAAGTATAACCGAACTTATATTATAAATTCTTTACTTTTTTTCAATTAAATTATTTATTTATATTTTTTTAGTGAGAATACTAACGTTTAAGAAAATGCGGATGTTTTGAAAGTCTTTCATTGTTTCCTCGCATATTTGATATTGTTGCGATTAGTCTAGAAAGGTTATTAAAAGACCTCAGTAGATTTTAGTATATCTTTCGATCCCCGACGGTATATTTTAATGAGCCAGCCATGGTCACACTGGAGCGTTGCTTTTAATTTGTTTGTATCGGCGTCGGTTGGATTGGAATCAAGTTGTTTGTCGTAACGAAATTGCTGTCAAATTAATTGTTGTGGTGCTAAAATTAAAACATTACCAAGGTGGGTGTGTTTGCAATAATATTTTTTTACTGAAATCTAAAAATGTTTTACATTTAATCGGATTGAACGCGCATCCTTTTTATGTTGCGGTAGGATTGTGAGCTAGGTGTACATAAATTTTTGCGCGTACAAAGAAAACTAATTTCGGAATTGCGAAAAGTGTGCAAAATATAAAGTACCGGTCGATAAAACCTTAAGGTTTATAGCCCCGCGAATGTTTTCAAAGAACACTGGCGCACGAGTTTTAAGTATTTCTTTCCCAAATGCATTATCGCCAATTGCGGCTGTCGCGCCGCCATTTTAAAAAACGAACGCGGTATTTGAGCCTCCGACAATTGCCTAGTACAGTGGTGGCAAAGCATAGAGGTCTGCGTTGACAATAAAACCCTGAGGAAATTTAAAATACAGGGATTTCTTGTTACTAACACGAAACCCCATATTATAACCTTAAAAAACGGTTTTTTATTAATATTTTTTGATAAACATCCCCTTAATTCCTTGTTTTAAAACTATGTTCAATATTTAGGCGGGCACTGTATGCCGCCTTTTTTTTTTACCCACACAGACAGACTGCCCAAGCACACGTGTGTGTGTTTCTGATTTTTTATTCCTTCGTATGTTTATGTTTTTTCTGCTGATCCGATCGCAACTCGTTGAAATTGATTAACTTGACTTGGAGCAGAACCTCCATTAACCACTCAACCATATAAACAGGCATTTATGCTCGTCTTGTTGCCGAGTTTAATAAACTCCGCGAAATGAGTGTCAAAACAAACGGCGAAAAGGGCATTACAATAATGATTCCCCCATCAAAGAGGGCTTGGCTATAAATACATGCTCACATGCCAACATACACAAACATATCATATCTGCAGTCTGTCGCTGCAATTGTGTTCATTATTTTTAAATTTTCGCAGCATCGTTCGTTGTCCGCGATTTTCAGCATTCGCATTTCCACTTTCTAAAAAGAAAACCCAATACCATGGCGCTGCCCGTTGCAATTTCTTTCTAAAAGCCGTCCCCTACCTTTCCCATCACTTCTGCTAAATAAATGCACCTGGGGTGCAACTAGTTTTGATACCCTCATTCGGGGTATATCTTCTCAAGTATAAAAAAAAAATAAATAAAAAATGCATTTTAGGTTTGTTTTATAGAAATATACTTTGTTGTCCAAAAACATCTTGAGCTTATCTTTTAAAAAAAATATATAAAAAAGAATACTTTTATTTACTTGTTAGAGTACTTCACACTTCGTTTTATTTCCATTTTCGATTTCGCATTTATCTGGCATCGAGCTGTCTGTGCAGTGTAGGTCGGCCTATGACAAGAAATTTTCCCTCTCCTTGCATTTTCAACGTCTTTGTTGTTGTACTATTTCTTTGGTTCTGCCTGTCTTACTCTTTACAATCATTTCACTTGCAAGGCAAGCGATAAAAAGGAAAACATTGTTTTGTTTGTTTCTTCTGTCCATCTAGCTTTGCGTGTTGGACTGTATTTGTTAAGTTTGTGTCTCACTTTGTTCGAATACATTTAATAAAACGGAAGCCGGTTAAAAATTTTAGGGGGAGCGAATCAGTCAACCAGAACCAAAGAATAAAGTAAGTGAGTAGGGAAACGAAAAGAACCACCCCGAAATGTAAAAGCGAATTTGTTAAAAGCGTTTTTCCTGTATTTGGACATTTCGAGGTATAAATTAGCATATGTCGCCGGGCAATTGGTCTTCTCCGGTAATTAACGCGTCCTAATCTGTGCACATATGTCCGTCATAAATGACAGCTGTCTCGCCAGGTAGATTGTCTCATCTTCTTCAGTTGGTTAATTTTCGGAGTACCTGTACTGATCCTGATCCTTCGGTTAGCTACTTAAGGCAGCGCAGGCTGGGATTCTGTTCAAGTTAAGCTTCAGACACGAAACCGTCAGGACGTAAAAGCAAATCCGAAAGAAAATACGCCAAGCGTCGTTCAGATTTAGCACCCTAGCATAGTGAAAATACTCCGAGACTTACTGTGATTAAAAAATTCTCATGTTGAACAGCAAAACTGTGGTAAGTGGGTGGGGGTATTGATTTCGGAGCCGGTTCTCAAAAGGAATGTGGTGTAAACAAACCGCAAGTCAATCTGTGTTTAGTTTTCGTTTTCATTTTCTCTACACTTCCAGTGTAAGCAGTCCGTAATCAATTAATAAATCATTCCCCTCGTTTGTGTCCCTTGCAGAGATCGTGCAACACGTCGAAGGAAATCCAACCAATGTTAAGCAAAATGGCTAGCAACACAAGTGGTGGAGGAGGAGGTGGCTCTGGTGGCAGTGGACGTCGTATACCACTCTCACTGAGCGGTGGAAGCACTGTGTCACGCTTGCAGCAGTCATCCGGCAGCAATGGCCGCTCAAATAGTCCCCAGAATGGCAACAAAAAAATCACTGAATCCTTCGTAGCGTTGAAAAAGCCAACCCAGCAGAGAAGCTCGTCCACCAGCTCCTCCTCGTCGAGCGGATCCAACCAGAATGGCGTCGGCAAGCCCACAAACGGAAAGGAAAAAACACAAAACGGAAGCTCCAAGGATCAAAAAGAACAGAAACCTAAAGATAAGGTCCCTGAAAAGAAGGAAAAGGAGGTGGAGGCCGAGAAAAAGGATAAGGAGGTTGTATTCGAAAAGAGGGATAAGGAGGTTGAAGCCGAACAGAAGATAACAGAGTTGGTGGTTGAAAAGAATGATAACGAAGTGCTAGCCGAAAGGAAGGACAACGAAGTGGCCACCAGTCCCGACAAGAAGGAATGCCAAGGAGAGGCCAAAAAGGAGGCTGCCGCTGAAGTTACCACATCGGCTCTAGACGTTGTGGTAATCGAAGATGAGGTAGAGGTGATTCCTGAGCTCAGCACTCCTTCGAAGGATCGCAGATCTACACGCAAGTCGGGGAGCCTACAAAAGTCTCCCATTAGTAAGCCGAGTCCCGTTTCGCCAGCCCAGCAGAATCAACCTGAAACAGCTGCAACCTCGGTTGCTGGCTCCTTGACTCCACAGGAAGATGTGGACATGGAACCGCTACAAGTGGATGCCTCACCTATACGCAGCGTTATTGGTAACCTTAATGCTCTGCCGACGGCCACGTCGACACCAGGACGCAATCTCTTTGGTTTCCGCAGCAGCAGCAAGCAGAGCACAGAGGTGGAGCTGGCTGCCCAGCCCTCCAGTTCGCCGGCAGGAACTCCGGCCCGCACTTTTGCCCAGATCAGCGGCAGGCGAAGCATACGGCCCATTGACTCACTGACGCCCTCGAAAGTGGGCACGTACAGGTGCGGCAACAGCGACCTGGACACCTCGAACTGCACGAACGCCAGCATGAATGCCACCGTGGGATCGGAGATTCCCAATAGCTCGTCCTTTTCATTCTCGTTCTTTGGCCGTGGTCGCAAGCGTGAGCGCACACCCCCGCCACTTTCTGCATCACAGTCGACCAATGACCTTGGCCAAGATGTGGAAATGTCGCCGCCAAAGCGTGCCCGCTTCGACTTGTTCAGCTTGAACCTGGCCTCGCCCTTTAGCCTGCTGCGCTCGAGATTCTCCAAGACGACTATCAGTTCTCCGACCCGGCTGTGTCTGGAGCCAAACGTTTCCGGCGTGGAGGAGCAACAAGCAAACACTTCTTCGATCAGCGTGCCAGAAGAGATTGAGGTGGAGGAGGAGCAGCCCAGCAAAAATGTTACCGTGGGCCAGGAGGCCGGTCTGGAGACGCCGAAGAAGGGCGGCTCGCCCATTAAGGATATACCCGCCGAGAAGCAAGTCGTGGACCAGGATGTCGATGGCCAGGAGGCCGATGAGAAGTCCAGCGATGGGGAGAACATTCCCCCCGTTGTTGAGGTGGCCGAGGTGGCTGGAATCGAGGCCCGATCCCGCTGCTCAATTATGTAATAAGACACAAGAAACCCTTCCCCTAGTTCATAGGTCTATGTCTTAGAATATCCCGTTCGCCCTCTTTTTGGTAATTTGTGTTCAGACGTAAAGTGACATGTTAAGAGAGAGCTTCCGCCACATACTTTGATAGCCCGGCTTGAACAGGTATTTCCTCAATCGAAGGAAACCTAGACCAGGTCTGAGTTTTAACCAATCTTGAACGGATTCCTTGCTGGTTGGCTACTCTCTGGGAATTCCCAAGTCAGAGGCAATCACTGACGAATCAGATGATCGGTACCCAGGCAAAGTGGGTACTGAAACCAAACAAAAACAATATATGTAGCCGTATCTGTATAAGAACCGTAAAAATGTTTTATATGCAAACACATTTGTGAAAGTCTCGTCTTTTCGCCAATAAAATACTTTCTTTTAATTATCCAAAAGAAGGAACGCCGTTTTATGATTTGTAAAAATTTAACACATGTATTACATAAATAAAGTACATTTAAAAAAATATTGTGCTCATTGTTTTATGTGTCCTGGGTTGTTTATAAATTTTTGGAACCAAAATTGCAGAAAACAGGGATTTCACATTTAAAGCCAATGGAAGAGTTAAAAATCCACGCCAAAAATCAATTTCAAACTATGTATTAACACTTTTATGTAATAATTATTAATTTTTGACCTCAGCTAAATGTTTTCAATATTAATGGAATTTATGAATGGTATAAAAATGAGAAATTAGAATGGTAAATTAATATAACACTCACCTAACAAAAATCAGGTTAAGAAAATATTCAAATAACAATTAACATTTTACGGTAAAAACAATGTTAGGAATTAAAATGAAAAAGGGAATTCTGTGGCAGCAATGTTGTAAAGCGTTCCAAAACTGGCGCCACTTTGTGTTCAGTATTTTTCGTATTTCACGGCCCCCTCACCTTTGGTCACACCGGCAAAGTTGTTCGCAGCAAAAAAAAAGAGAGAGATTTCTCGGATTAGATGAGATACCAACGAAAATTATTAGTCAAGTGCCCGCACAGAGAAGCAGCGCCACCAAATAGCCCATAGAGAAGTCCAGTCCAGTTGGGTCCACTCCAAGCCAGTCGAGAACCAGCTGAGCAGCCAGGGAACCTGGGAAATAAGCGCAGGAGGAGGAGGAGAGCCAAGAGCCACGAAGTGGGAAGTGGTAAGAAGCAGCCAGGTAATCAGCCAACATGTCCTGGACGGAGAAAGTGGATCCCGAGCTGATCTTCACCAAGCAGGAGCGCATCGGCAAGGGCTCCTTCGGTGAGGTGTTCAAGGGCATCGACAACCGCACCCAGCAGGTGGTGGCCATCAAGATCATCGATCTGGAGGAGGCCGAGGATGAGATCGACGACATCCAACAGGAGATCATGGTGCTGTCGCAGTGCGACTCGCCGTATGTTACCAAGTACTATGGCAGCTTCCTCAAGGGCACCAAGCTGTGGATCATCATGGAGTACCTGGGCGGTGGATCCGCCCTGGATCTGATGAAGGCCGGCTCCTTTGAAGAGATGCACATCGGGATCATACTCCGCGAGGTGCTCAAGGGCCTGGACTACCTGCACTCGGAGCGCAAGCTGCATCGGGACATCAAGGCGGCCAATGTACTGCTCAGCGAGCAAGGTGATGTCAAGCTGGCGGACTTTGGAGTTGCCGGCCAACTGACCAACACCACCTCCAAGAGGAACACGTTCGTGGGCACGCCCTTCTGGATGGCGCCCGAGGTGATCAAGCAGTCGCAGTACGACGCCAAGGCGGACATCTGGTCGCTGGGAATCACGGCCATCGAGCTCGCCAAGGGCGAACCGCCCAACTCGGAGCTGCATCCGATGCGCGTGCTCTTCCTCATACCGAAGAACAATCCGCCCCAGCTGACCGGTAACTACACCAAGTCGTTCAAGGACTTTGTGGAGGCCTGTTTGAACAAAGATCCGGAGAACAGGCCCACGGCCAAGGAGTTGCTCAAGTACCCGTTTATTAAGAAGGCCAAGAAGAACGCCTACCTGATCGACCTGATCGATCGCTTCAAGAAGTGGAAGCTCTCCAAGGGCGACGAGAGTGAGACAGAGTCGGAGAACTCCGATTCGGACTCGGATGCCAAGCAGGGCGGCAGCAGCCAGGATGAGCCCTGGATCATGACAGTCAAGGGGCTGCACATCAACAGTGCTCCGCGGGCGGGCGTCAACAGTTTCCAACTGCAGGAGCACGAGCTGACCATGCAGAAGCTGATGCAGACCACACACTCTCCGTCCGGCGGCGGTGGTGGTCAGGCCGCTCCAGCCGCATCCGCATCACCATCTTCCGTTAACGCCGTGGCGGCGTCAGCTTCCTCCGTGTCCGTCATCACAGCCAACGAGGCTGTCTCATCCGCATCCGCCCAGCCCCCCCAGAACAGCCACGTCCACAACCACAACCATAACAACATCAACAACAATAACATCAGCAACTTGAGCAACAAGCACGCCACCACGACCATGCTAAATGCAGCTCCTCCGCCGAACAGCGTCACCAGCTCCTCGTCGGCCAATGAGCTGCAGCAGAAGCGTTCCAGCTCCAAGCCGGAGCTGCGCCAGTCGCGTTCGGCCGCGCCTCTGGACCAGGTGGAGGACCGCCGCGCCTCTTTGGGCCTGCCACTGCAGGCTTCAGTTCCGACTCCGTCGTTGGCTGAGCAGCAGCAGCGTCGCAGCAGCCAACGTGAATCATTCCATGCAACCAATGCCGCACTGGCCGCCAGCAGCAGCAGCAGTAGCAACAACCACAGCCACAGCCATGAGGAGCATGTGGCCACCAACCATGCCAGCCATGTCAAGCACACTGCGGCGGGACAACGCCTAGTCCAGACGAACAGCGCCTGTCTGAACAACTTCCTATTCCCCGTGCTGAGCGACATCCAGCGGAAGTACTCCGGCGGCGGAGGATCTGGAGGCGGAGGAGGATCTGGTGGCGGCGGACGTAACCTGGGCGTGGGCAGCGACATTGGCGACCTGAAGTCCGTGTTCGAGCTGGCCGAGCGCTCCAGTCCCGGTGTGAGTGACCTCTTTATGAAGGAGCTGATCCACATGCTCGTTCCTGGTTATTCGGAGACGCGCATCAATACGATCATGGACCGCGCCATACGTAACCGCAAGTAACTGGCGAAGCCGTAGCCAATTCCGATTCCAAGCAACCTACTTTATTATATACACAACATTATTAACGAGACCGAGACAAAACAAACTGAAACGCTGGAGCGATACTGATTCCGACATTAAGTGGCCAACGGAGAAGCGGGAGCGATGTACATGTATTTCAATTGAACAGTTATTTAAGCATACAATATGTATTCGTTTGTTTATCTGCAATATTAATCTAATGTAAAACATATATAACTTCAGAATAAAAACCCCACAAAAATCAGCATTCGAATTTGGCGCCCAACTGGGAACTCGGCAGCACAAGCGATTCAATCTGGCAACGCTTGCAATACTTAAAATAAAACTAACTAATTCTTGTTAGCCAAGACAAAACAACTATTAAAAACTGTAGCTCAAATTCTAATAAAATAAAGATAAAGTCCATCAAAGGAATACAAAATTATTGTTGAATTTAAAGAATTATAAAGAGTGTGAGACAAATTGTTAATTAATTTGATATTATTTTATTTAAGTTGCTATTCATAGTAACAGTAGATTATAGAAAAAAAAACATTAATAACAAAATCTTTTTCTTTACAATAATAGTTTTATAAAAAAAAAAGAATAAAGGAATATATTATTTGATATTGTATGAATGTTATAAATGAAAACATAAACCACTAATAAATTCACATTGTTTGGAAATTGGGAGATATTCAATCATTCGAGTAATCTCTGTATTTTGGTTTAGGAAATCAAAAAATGTATACATATTCGGATATAACAACATTTTCAAATATTATTCAGCTAGAACGAAATCAAACGGTTAATTCCTTGGCCATTTGGTATTTTTTGGCGCTCTGGCGGCGGTCACACTGGTGGCAACTCTCCAGCCATTTTGCATTTTTATTTCGTTTTACAAAATAATTTTTGATTTCCACCGTATTTAAGCATATATTCCGAAAATTAATGAGCCCGCAGACATGACGCACGCACTGGTGAACGAGGAAACGCTGGAGGCGATGGTCTACGAGCGCTCCAAAGCATGGTCCAGTGTGATGAAGGTGAGTTTTCGGATTATTCCTAGTGGCGTCTATTTCTGATGGCCGTGTTTTTGCAGGATTGGTCGACCATGGACGACGGAATGGAAGTGGATGTGTCGGAGTTTGATGATCTATTCAAGGACGAAGACCAGAACCCTGAGCTGCTGGACGAGGAGGAGGCCAAGGAGGATAATGTGGAGGACGCCAAACTGGAACTGGGCCACATCAACACCACCACCACCAGCGTTGCGGAGCTGACACTGATCCTGTGCGCGGGGAAGGACAACGAGACCAAGGCCGAGATAGAGGAGATCCTGAACCAGACGGTACCCGTTGTCGAGGGGCACAAGCGTAAGTGGCGGGAGGCGGGGCTAGATCGCATCTTGGACACCTTCGATGAGAAGCAGATTGAACACCATGTGGGCCGCTGGATGCGGCGCCACAACAGCGTTTACTTGGAGACCACACCGCCGAAATACCTCCACCCTCAAGACCACTCCATCTCGGACCAGAGCGACGAGTCGCTGCACTCGATTGACACGGCCCGATACATTCAAGAAAGTCGCCGGCGCAAGGCCCACACAACCAACAAGAACTCGAACATGACCACCATTAAGATGTACCGCAAGCACTCGCACAAACGGGATGAACTAAGGGCCAAGTACGCCTACGATGACGAGCAGGAGCACCGCCACCACATGCAGGCGTTGCTGCACCGCCGACGGGAGAAGGAGCGCAAGCTGGCCTACTTGGCCGCCACGCCGATGCACTGCATCCACTCCAGCAGTCATCATGTGAGGCGGAAGCATCTGCGAAAGCGGCGCGCCAACTCCTGGATGTTTGACTCTTCGTCCAGCAGTGAGGACGATCCATCATTTAACGGCTGCGACTGTCACTCCTGCCGGAGACATCATGCGCTTTCCAGAAGTGCCTACCAGTACTGTCCGTATGACAGGGGTCAACGTGAGTATCACCACCGCCAGGCGGCATCGCGGACCATGCACACCATGCGTCGTCATCACACCTTTGACATGGACATGGACCTGCGACCAAGGCTGCCGGAAAATGAGTGCAGCTGCTGCGACAGCGACCGTCTCTGCTCCAATGTAGTACACATTGCCAACAGCTCTACCGAGGAGTGGGTGGTGGAGAACCGCAGTAGCCCCCTGCTCCTCGAGTCGCAGGGTATGGCTCGGAAGCACAAGCAGCAACTGGTGGCTGTTAGGAAATTTTCACCACAGTCGGCTCGATCCAAGTGCCACGAGCAGAGATTACCGAAAATGAAGGTTGCTTCGGCCTCAAAATTGGTTAAAAAAGCTAACTACGTACACATGTTTGATAGTGACACTTCCGATGAAGAAAAGGTCTTGTATAAAAAGCGTTTGGTTAACTTTCTGGAGCGGAACAAGGGGAGTACAAGTACAACTCCAAAATCAACAAAAAAAACAAAATATGTATCTTCTACGGCGAAGAAGTCTTTAAAGAAGGCTAATGCAGTGTCTTCCAACATTTTGCCAGAAATCAAAGAAGAACAGTCTATTCAATTTGTTGACACAAAAAAAATGCCGCCATCTGGAGAGGGCGATGGCTTGCCGATTCCGAAAATAAGTCATTCACAAACCAAATCCGAGTCTTCCGATGAAAGCAGCCAAGATGAAATCAAGGGAAGGAAACGCTTGTTAAGCTTCTGCGAGGCAAACATGAAATCAAAGAAAGCGTCTACTATAATGGAATCAGCCACAAAAAAAGCTCAGAAACAGGTAATTGTGGTGCCGGTTTTGAATCTGCCCCAAAACAATAAGCAAGAGGACAATTCCCCTATAAAAATGCTTCCAGTTCAAAAGGGCGATGAAATGATCAATCCAAAGGAAAGTCATCCTTATATCAAAAACGAATATTCTAAAGAAAGACAAGCCAAGTCGAAATGTGCCAGAAATTCATCTGCACAATTGGAATCTTCAGCAAACAAATGTAATCCCAAGCCTGTTACATCGATTCCCTCGTGTTTTCCACAAATCACAGGAAAAAAAGGGTCAAAACCTGTAGGAACTGAAGTGAAAAAAAATACAAAGGAGACCAATACCACTCCCTTGGCCAACGACAAAGGTTTAATCAATGCAAAAAAAATTCACAGCCCCATCGAAATCAAATCTTCCGATGAATCCGAGGAGGAAGTGATGCAAAGAAAACGCCTTGTAAGTTTGTCCGTGGGCAATCTCAAATCCAAATGTTCTGGAGCTAAGAAAATTTCCAAGCAGGCAACGATTCACGTTGATAATTCCAGTTCCCCTCAAGTTCCTAAACAATTGATTTTGGTAGAAAGCAGCTCTATTAGTAATCCTGAAACGTTAAATGTAACCAACTCATCATCATCCTCTCATGAAATCTTGAATCAAAATCCAGTTGTCTCGAAAGAAAAGCCGAAGAAAAATTCAGAAAACGCCAAAATAGTCACTAAATCGGCTGCAACCGGAAAGACTTCCGCCGCAGGCGTTAAAACGAAAACACGCGATTCGGGAAAAAAGAAAGCTAACACCGCTATTTCTCCGGCTTTGCCGCAAATCATTGAGGAGGCGCCCAACCGCTCACCCGACTCGCAGACTAAACCCGAACCGAATTCGTCAAGTAAAGTTCCAAAAACCAATTTAAAGAAGTCTGGAAGCTCTAATGCCCAAGACATTCCGAAGGACAACTTCGAAAAGACGTGCGACTCAGAAGAGGAACTGAAGCGAGCCCTAGCTTTATCGAAGGCCTCCTATAAGGGAAGAGAACATAAAGCGACGGAAAACTAAAAAACAAACCTCAAACGAACAGCCGCAGTCACCGGCTGAGCAATCTTTGGCGATATTCAACAATCAGAGCGTGGCCTGCAATTCCACAGCTCTGGTCAATGACACGGCCTGCAAACGCGTTCTCACCAAGAAACGACCAGTTAAAAGAGCAGCCGCCGTAAGCAGCACCGAGGAACAACCAGCGGCAAACAGCTCGAGATCCCCAACGGGCAGTTCGTTGGAGGAGGCCAGCGCCTCGAGCGGCGATCCTGACTGCACGGTGGTGACATCCACCACTTGCTGCGAACCGGCTGCAAGTGAGCCGATTCCACCGCCTCTCAAGCTCACCAAGCGAGGCATCCTGCTGCACAGTTATTCGGCATCGGACTCGGGCAACTTCACTCTAACCGAGCAGGGACTCGGAAGATTCATTGGCGACCGTTGGGCCCGCAAATACCTCAAATACCACATCGGCAGTCGCAGCTTTGACAGCCGGCACTCGGTTTACTACCAGCCCACGCCGCAGTTGGCAGCCGCCTTAAGTGCTCCTCACAATCAGCAGACCCTCGCCAATATATCGAGCTCCAGTTCCAGCGATGATGACATCTTCGATCAGTTCAACCGATATGGAACGGTGTACAGCGTGCTCGAAAAGTAATGCGAAAGTTTAGGCTAAGTTTTTCCCAACTTATTTGTAAGCTTTATTTGGTTTAGAGCTACAATTGTACGCGACGGTTAAACACATCCTTTTAAAGGGAATTAAGAAATATTTTTGTAGTTTATTTTTTAAGTTTTGATTTATTTCACGTAAATTACATGATCGATAGTGATAATAGAAAACATAATACGTCATAATCATTATAATCATCATAAATTTTGCGCTTAAGTATTAAATAATTGTTTAAGAGATTTATTCGCATTGCAATAGTAATTCTTGTGTGTCGAAGTTGTGCTTAAGTTCGTTTCCATGAAGTTTGTCTAAATTCATATCGGCTATTGTTAATTTTATGTATTCACAAGAAAACAAATAAAACGTAAGATCAATTTATAGAGTGAAAATGGCGCGTCGAAAAACAGAAGCTTCTTTCTTCCATGTATGTACAAATAACAAAAACTTACCTAAAATATGGTGATAAATCAAGAAATTAAAATTAAACAAAGAGCGTTATGATGAAAACAAGAAACACACGACTTTTGACCCTGGAACATGCGCGCCCACACACATACACATGCGAAGCATATATCTACACGTACACATATGCCTGGCCGGCCTACACATCGATCTGGAATGGGGAGCCGGGTATATGCTCCTCGCCCCACTTGATTAGGAGCACGTACTGGCCGCGGTCGCGCACCAGGTACTGCACATTGTAGTTGTTGTGGCCAGCGTGCTTCACGTGGAACTCCTCGCAGGGTCCCTTTGGTCCGTACATGCCCACGTACAGGATGTTGTTGCCTGAAAGGAAGAATACAAAAATTAAAGGTTAAAATAAGGTTTAATAGATCACTTCTCTTCTATCCAAAATCAATGAAAAAACAAATACTAACTTATATTGAAACAATTTAATTGAATAGTAGGGTAAATGTTTCTGGTTGCTTAAAATATTAATGATTGATACTGTTAAATGTAGGATATTAAAATCAAATCAAAGCTAAACCAATTTTTTGAATTTTAGTTTTAAATAAAATTGGTAATTTAATAAGTTAGCCAAAAATTAAAAAAAAAGTGGTTTAATTATGTCAAAAGATTTAAGATCAACTTACCCGCGTCGGTGGCACAGATGCTGAACTGGTTCTGCTTGCCGATGTAGGCCTTCTTCAGGCCCATGCCCTTGGACACCACTTTGTTGGCATCAGACTTGAAGGTGGGCAAATGAACGCCCGTGTTCTTGCCGCCCTTGGCCACCTTCTGCACCGTCTCCACGACCACCGTCGACGTCTCCTGGGCGCCCTCATCCGCCAGCTTGTCGCCGGTGGCGTTTACTTTGAAGGGCGAGCCCACGATATGCATGTTGTTGTACTTGACCGTGATGTAGTGCTCGCCAGGCAGCAGAGGTGTGTAGCGCACCTTGTAGCCCTCCTCCACCTCCGTGCAGTCCATGGCCACCTTGGACGGACCATCGATGGACACGGCCAGCGTGCCAACGCCGGCATTGCAGGTGTTGATGATGAAGTCGGCCTTGTGTCCAGTCTTCACCTCGTCCAGTCCGTTGCCGCTGGCATGCACGGCAGCAGGATCGGCCACATCCTTGCCCACCTTGATTCTGAACGGTGAGTCGGGTATGTGGACTCCGTTGAACTTGACGTGGATGGCATGGATTCCGTTCTCGCGCGGATAGAAACGCACCGAGTACATCTCGCCGTCGATGACCTGAATGAAGCAATCGTCGTCCGTTCCGGATGGAGCCACAATCTTGGCATCCAGCTCACCCTTGGCGCCGTTCTTGCGCACCATGAACTGGTAGGGGGCGTCCGCCTGGATGTTACCCTGCGGGAATTGCTGAACCTCCAGCTTGTGGGCATCGCCGGCGTCTGGCGAGACGTACACCTTGAAGGGCGAGTCGGGTATGTGACGGTCGTTGAACTTTAGACCCACGCGGTACTCTCCTGGCTCGGTGACCTTGTAGGACACATCGCAGCTTCCGTCCTTGCGGTCCTTGAACTCAATGTCGGCCTTGCTGGGACCCTCCACGGAAATGGCCAGGGAACCGCCGCCCGCCTCGCGGGTCCACACATTAAACTCGGCCGCCTCGCCGACGACGCCACGCTCCAGGCCAGATCCTCCAGCCTTGACCAGATGGCTACCAGAGTCGCGCAGTGGTCCCACGGTGAACTGGAAGGGCGAGCCGGGGATGTGCATCTCGGAGTAGCGCACCGACACTGTGTGCACGCCCAACTCCTTAGGCACAAAGTGCACCGCGTAGAGGCCATCCTCAACCTCCTGGATCTCCGCATCTTCGGTCACATTGCTGGGCGAGGTGACGCAGGCGGCCAGATCGAACGAGGTGATGCCGGGCATCTTGAACGTCAGCTTGCACTGGCTGCCGATCTCCGTGATCGGGACAGCATCACGCTCCCGCTGGATCTTCTCGCGCTTGCGATTGCTGCCCTCTCCGGAAACCTTGACGGTGAAGGGGGAACCCTCCACATGGTGATCGGCGAACTTTAGGTTAACAATATAGTAGCCCGGCTCCGTGGGCTTGTACGAGATGTTCAGGGTGCCATCGTCCTTGTCCGTGCACTGGATCTCCGCCTTGCTGGGACCCTCGATGGAGACGGAGAGACCTCCGAATCCGGCGTTGCGGGTGTCCACAGAGAAGATGTTGTCGGCATGGGTCTGACCCTCCTTGAGACCAGCTCCGCTGACCTTGACCTTCTTGGCGTCGCCCACCTCGCGCTCGCACACGGTCACCTTGAAGGGGGAGTTGTTGATGTGCTTGCCCAGGCGTTTCACCGACACCAGGTGCTCGCCGATCTCGCGTGGCGTGAACGAGATGCCAATGTTGCCCGTGGGCATGCGCTTCAGGAAGCAGGGCTCCTCCAGGCCACTGGGCGCCTGGATCGATGCGTTCAGGGCACGCAGGTCGTCGTCGGTGATGTCACCGGGCATGGTCACTTCGGAGCAGGAGCCCACCGAGATCTGGTTGCGCTTGCGTCCCTCACCGGTGATCTTGGCAAAGTACGGCGATCCCTTGATGTGCCTGTCGCCGAAACGAACGGACACCTGGTACTCGCCAGGGGCAGTGGGCAGGTATTGCACGGAGACGGTGCCGTCTTTGTTGTCATGGTAGTTGATCTGCAAGTGGTAGCTTCTTGTAATACATGTTTCTAATCTGGACAGGGGATTCCACTTACGTCTGCCTTGCTGGGTCCTTCGACGGCCATGGTCAGGCCTCCGGCGCTGGCTCCCTTGGTGGAGATGGTGAAGTTGGCCGGCTCACCGGTGACTCCGTGGGTCAGGCCGGGTCCATAGGCAGTTACATAACCGGAGGTGATCGAGTCGACGTGGAATTTGAAGGGAGATCCTGTTTGCAAACCGAAATTAGCATATGAAAAGCTAATTCTCCTGCTAGCACTCACCTTGCACGGGCTCTCCGTTGTATTTGACCACCAGCTCGTGGGATCCCTCCTCGCGGGGATCGTACTTCACGGAGACGGTACCATCACGGTTGTCCTGGATTACGGGCTTGTCTACTTTACCGCTCGGCATTCTGACTTCAGCTGGAAAATACAAAAAACGAAAATCATACATAAAATATATTTAATAATTATTATATTTGTATCACCTCAAAAGAAGTAGAATCTAATCTTTTAGACCTAACATAAAACAGATCATTTAAAATAAATAGTCATAGTAAATTTACTTTATAATATTTCGTATTTGTTCAGTAAAAATGGTATAATTTGTTTACCAAGTAGTTCGATAGGTACAGTACTCATAAAAGCACACATGTTCGAAAACTCTATTTGTATACCATTTAATAGATGTATTTTGTATTCCCTGAATTATGTCACCAAAACATTTTTCAAATAATTTGCGTGGGCGAGCGCCACAAGTTTGAAAAAATCATAATTTCATTTTTATGTTCGAATTTGCGTGCCATTTTTTATTCCACAAAATCTATTTCTGGTCTCTGCACAGATCTAAAGATCGAAGACCATGTTGTTTTTGGTCCGCACCAAAAAGTAAATTAATTGGACCGAATGTTATTTGCCTTGAAAGAATTTCAAAGTTTTTAAAAGTTCCCGAACAGCATATCATATAACTATGAGACACTCTTACTAATAAGCCCATAAATTTATTTTTGATTAACTTTCGAATATTTCACAATATTTAAAAATATTTCACAGAATTCCACTTACTTTTTCTCTAATTGAGAAGACACACCCACAAATATATAGATAAATAAAATTCTGGTTTGGGCTGGATGTGTATCCTTGTTTAATAATCCTTGGCACTGGGGACCCGGAGTCCAAATCACTTCTCAACTGAACGAATGCTGTGCATCGACTGAGTGGCTAGTAATCTTCTGGCTTTCCAAAGAAATTTCCACCAACGCCTACAATTGCTTTTATACTTTCCCACGCCATCAAGCAAGAAAAATAAAAACAACATCGTTCCTGAATCTCGTTGAGGTCAAATATAGGACACACTTTTTATGTTTCCCAGTCACATATGTATGTGTTCCACATAGAACATTATATGGCCACATCCATAAGTTGCATCCCTCCCCTTAACTTTTCACAGAGTATATGTCACAAATGCATAAAAGCCTATTTATACCCCAATATCTGACTATGTGCTGGAATGATCAATATAGAAAGACCTTATTATGCACGTGTCTGAATTTATATTTAATTCTCGATATTTTTAAATCCGGGAAGAATCTTTATATACACAAACATTCCAAAGTTATTTTTTGCTGTCAAAACATTATATCGTATATTCCGCGAGGAGGATCATTAGTTAGAAACGGAAAGTCTGCATTTGTTGACAAAATTATTTAAATAAATGAAAAGGGGTTGATACAGAACAGAGTGAATCAGCTGGACACTACATTTCAAGTTTAATTTTACAACAAAATTTATTAATGATTTTATATATTTTTAGTTACTTATATGACACCCCACTTGACCATTGTCGTAAATTTTGTTTTATTAAAAAAACATTTAATTTCCCACGAAAATACGATGTCAAACCTATCATAAATATGTTTAAAGTAGCCACTAAGCTTTCGACTTTCATCGAAATAGTATTTCGCTTAGCTTTGATCCATCAAAATTAATGAGCATTTTTGCCACAAGCATCCTTACCAAAAAACAATGACGGTAAACACAGATAAATCAGAGGAGCGTGTCGCGTGCCCATCTAATATTTAGAACAAGAAATTATATGTGAACAAACTAAGGCACCTAAAAAACAGAAGACAATGGATGCCAAAGAAAAATGCGAACATATCTTTGAAGAATCTGCCAAGTGAAATATGGCAAAATTTATAGCCAACTTATGGGCTGGCAAAGGCAAGAAGTATCTGCAGAATGCA